AGTAATTGAAATTGGGCCACTTCAAGACTTGCACAATAAGCTTTATTAGTAGAAAAAACTTTTGGATGGTTCATATTATTTAACAAAAAAAAAGGTCATTGGCTTTATTTTTTTTAGTCATAATCATAATTTGAGCTTCCATATTGGGGACTGTTTAATGTGAATACTTTTCTTCTTTATGCATATTAGATTTGTTAGAATATAACCTGACACTTATTTCTAATGATATTGAGTTAATGTTATATAAATACTAAATAGAAATGTATAATTGTAAAAATTAATAAGAAATATTCATTTTAAGAAATTGATTTTAGAAATTAAAATTATTATCGAAGTAGGTAATCTTAAATTTATTAAAATTCCTACAATATTAGTATATTTTCCCAAATAATAAAATTTTATACTCTTCCAATAATTTGTTCTCGCAACTTGTTTAGCATGTTTCTGGCAATAGAATTTACCGCACATGTTTCTAACAACTTGTTTGCATTATTGTTTGATCTCAAAATTAAATTATTGTTTTGATTTGTCTTTTTTTTTTTTTGTTATAGGGACTAAACATGTCATCAACCACACCAGATATCTCTTTTATACCAGTTCAGCCGATAATAAATTCTTTTACTAGTCGAATTGTGTCAGATGATGATAATGATTCAATAAATGAAACTTTAGATGACACTAATGATAACACAGATAAAACACCAGTCATTAATGCCAATGATAGAGAATGTGATGATGCTGACCTTGAAGAGTGTGAAGAAAGTAATGAGAAAAAGAGGCAAAAAACATCTGCTATTTGGTTAAAGTTCAAAGAAGTCACTCTTTCTGATGGTTTCAAAAAAGGAAGTGTGTCCATTGCAAGAAGAAGCTAGCAATAAATGTAAGTAAAAGTACAACTCAATTTAAGAGGCACTTGATAACTTGTGTTAAGAGAAAAAATTTTCAAAATCAACAACAAATGATCAACTTTCAGCCAATAAACATATGTGGTGATGTACAGATACTACCTGCTCTCACAGATGGCAAGTTTGATATGGTAAAGATGAGAGAAGCAACTACACATTAGATACTTATGCACAAGCATTTTTTTTCAATTATAGAAGATGAAGGTTTTAACATGATGCAAAAACGTGAGATGCGTGAATGGGAAAAGGTATCACGTAATACTATTAAAAAAGATTGCATGCAAGTTTATAAAGCAGAAAAGAAGAAATTAAAGGCATTGTTGAAGACTGTCAGCAAGATTAATTTGACAACAGATTTGTGAAAATCAAGTAATCAAAAGATTGAGTACATGGTTCTTACAACACACTTTGTAAATTCTAATTGGAGATTACAAAAGCGTGTTATTAGCTTTGTTCACATATCTCATTCTTGTCGCGGTGTTGAGATTGCTGATTGTATTTTTAAGTGTCTAAAGGAATAGAAAATTGAAAACAAGGTGTTTACACTTTCTGTGGACAATGCTTCAAGTAATGATGTGGCGATTAGAATTCTTAAAGATACTTTTTCAAGAAATAAGATATTGCTTTATGGAGGAAAATTATTTCATGTTCGGTGTTGTGCGCATATCTTAAATCTTATGGTTCAAGATAGCCTTTCTGAGATTAAGAATGTGATTGGTGATGTTCATGAAAGTGTCAATTTTATTAATCAAAATGAGGTAAGACTTAACTCATTTTCTGACATAGTATAGCAGTTACAGTTACCTGATAGGAAACTCATTCTCGATTGTAAAACACGTTGGAATTCGACATTCGAGATGTTGTCGATTGCAATCAAATTCAAAGAAGTGTTTTCGAGACTCAAAGAACGAGAATCTCATTATGAATGTTGTCCAAGTCATGAAGATTGGAAAAAAGTGGAAAAAGTTTGTGAGATTTTAGAGGTTTTTAATTCAACCATTAAAATCATCTCTGGAAGTGATTATCCAACTTCAAACCTGTTTCTGAATGAAGTTTATCGTGTGAAAATGTTGTTGGATAAAAGGATGAATGATGAAAATGAATTTGTTCAAGCGATGGTTCGTAAGATAAAGAGTAAATTTGATAAGTATTGGGGAGAATGTAATTTGTTGATGGCTATAGCAGCAATCTTGGATCCAAGGTGCAAAATGAGGGTGATTGAGTTTTGCTTTCCTCAAATGTACCCTGATAGAGAAACAATATAAAATATTGCTAAAGTTCGAGATGCCTTTTATGAGATTTATGATGAATATGCTCGTGAGTATCAATTTGGTAATGAGCATAGTGCTGAAACTCAAGTGCATGATAATGGTATTAGTGGTATGAATATAGAAGCTTTTTCTTCTGGTTGGTTTGAATTTGCAAATTATGTAAAATCAATTGAAACTGCTCAACCACAACAATCTGATTTAGATGTCTACCTAACTGAAGGCTGTTTTATCTGTGAAGGAGATTCCACTAAGTTTGATGCTTTGGAATGGTGAAAAGCGAGCACTTTGAAGTATCGTATTTTATCCAAGATGACTTGAGATATACTTGCTATTCCTATCACTACAGTGGCTTCAGAAGCTACCTTTAGTGCATGAGGTAGAGTTATTGATACTTATCGTGCTTCTTTATCTCCTAACACAGTGCAAGCATTACTTTGTGGAGGAGATTGGTGTCAGAATCTTCATGGAGTGAAGAAGAAGAACAAAGTGAGTTTTTTTTATTATTATTTTGTTATTGGGTGATTATCATTGCTTTAATCTAATTTTTAACTATTATTTTCCTTTACTTTATCTATATAGAAAGAGAAGAAATCAATTGAGATTGCACTCAAAATCTCCTAAAGTGAAGATATCTAATATCTTCTATACAGGTATGAAATATTATTATTAAATACCTTTAATTTGTCACAACATTACTAAAGAAAAATAGGTGGTAGCTAGTCTAGATTAAGCTTTTGCATTATAGTTTACGAACCATAGGTTAACTAATGATAGAAACTCATGTTAAGGTAATTGACAAGATACTGTTTATATTTTTTTGCTCTGATTATAAGACAATTGACAAGATAAAATCCATGTTGATGCTAATGTTAAAATTTTAAAGTTATTGATCATTGTAATAATATTACAATCTTTTTCTTACATGGGTACTTTTACCGTTTTTCTTATTGTTAATTATAATTTCTTTGTTTTGTAATTATTCTTTTGTGTAGGTTTATTGAAAAACAATATGAGCCCAATGTTTATTTGAAGACATAATATTGTGAAGGCAGCATATGTAATGTTGTTGGTTTGTTGTAACTTATTTGTGAACTTATTTGCTTGGATATTTAATATCTTTCAATTAGGATTTTAATTTCTAAGTTTCATTATGTCTTATATTTGTGTGTTGTATTTGAATCATTTAATGAGACTTTTATTTGCTTGAATTTGGTTGTTGTGTAAGTTTTTATTATTATTATTGTTGTTGTTATTGTTGTTGCTATTATTATTGTTGTTATCTTGAAAATATAATATTTAATAGGTTTGATAAAAATTAGTTGTAAAAGATCTCGAGCTCGAGCACAAATAATCAAATTTTTTTCGAGTATAAAAATCGAGCTTTTTTTATATATATTAAACGAGCTTAATCGAGCGAACTCAAATAGCACGATTTCGATCACGAATCGAGTTCGAGCTAAAAAAATGAAACTCAATCGAGTTTGAGCCGCATATCGAGTAGCAAGTTTAGAGTCGAGCTCGAGCTTATCATTGTATCGGCACGACTCGACTCAATTACACCCCTAACCACAGGGCCAAAAATAGCAAGTGACCAAATGATTTTAAACGCGCTGTGCTTTTACATGCAAATATTTAGCATGTTATTAAAGATTACAAGTGAAGAAAACAGCTGTGGTTGGATTTATATTTTGCCTGAACCAGTGAACCTGTCCCTTGTATATCTTCCACTGACAATGACTATACCAATTTAAACTAAACATTCAATATCAACATCCACTTATATCTTCCCACTCTTATCATTGCCCTTTTTGCATCAAATGCTCTTTGATATTTTTCATATTTGGAACAGGCAAATGGGGAACAAACTGATGTAAAAATGACCCCCAATCCATAAATATGCTGCCACTGCTCTCTCTCTCTCGTTATTTTGTTTTCCAAGAGGCAAACAAATTGTCTGTTTGTTTGAGAAAGCTAGATATTAATCATAGGTTTGGTCCATTTCCTTTCATTTCATTTCCCTGTTCCATCCCTGAAAACCTACCCGGTAGCTAGAGATGGGATTTTCTTGAACATGCAAAATTTCAAAGCATGTGTTGCTTTTGTTTAATGTCTTTTTGAAATTGCCATGCATCTCCAGGATTTCCTTTTCTCTCTGGGGGCCTGCCCTAGGGCCACTACCCTTCTGTTTTTGTATTTAGGATGAAGAAGCCATCTATCTAGTTAGTATACAGGAATAGGATAGGAAAGGAGAGAGAGTTTACAACTTCCAACTTCACCGTCCAACGCAGAAACATGACCCACATGGTCGACCCTGTTTTCACAGCTACAACAAGTCTGATATTTCCTTCCAACTACATGCTAACTTCTTTTATCTGTTTGAGCCATGTGCAGTGCCATAAAAAGGACCAATAATTAAAATATATGCTATAGTATTACTCTCTCCAAACTATACATATAACTCTGAAACACGGAAATTTCTGGATTTAGGGCTTGGGTTTCGGCTGATATTATGACGGTTTGGCCTAATACTTGCCTTGTAGTTTTAGGTGTCCCCCAAGTTTGAAACTTGGTGGAAGAAAAATATGATTCGCTACCCATAGCCCATATAGGGTTTCCAATAGTACGTGCATAGCATTGAGGCCCATCACATGAATATTTTGGGGTGACAACAGACAATGTATATATAAATAAATAATAATAGTATTTATTAATTATAATATGTGGCGTAAGCCTGAAACGTACACATGCAGCAGGATTATAACCTTTAGTAGATTTTTCATGAAACCAAAGTACCAAACCATCAGGTCTGGCTGGGCCACTTCCATGTCGAAATGGTTCATATAGGATAATAGACTAGAACTTGACCCCTACAAGCTAGCTACTACTGCGACCATGGGCTGGCTCCATTGGGGACAGTGGGTTTGTGTTGAAATTGGATGGATGAATTGATGGAAGGACTCGAATAGGAATGTCGTTGCCAAAAGTCACTTTGAATTCTCCTTTTCAACTGTGTATCTGTGATATTCCTCTCTGCGTACACTAGTCATCAATCAGATTCCCAAAACTGCCAGAGTTGCACGGTTGAGACCAGTGGCCCAGGTTTACCTGCAAATGCAAAGCAGGTCAAACCAAATGGCTACATACTAGTAAAATTTTTGGAAAATACTAAACTTGCAATGCCATTTTTTTTCCCTTCAGAGGAAGAAAGCTGCAAGATATCGGGGGGATGCATGTCTAATTATGACTACAAACGTGTGCAACCCAACTAAACTAAGAGATATTAAGCTGAAACATACCCGAAAGGGTTTAAGGTTTGAATGCTGGTTTGTCCTACAGGTGTACCTCTTATTTAAGCACAACAAAAATCCACCCGCAGCAAGCTCCAGAATGCACCCTGTAAGCACAGAATAATAGATCTGTTAGTTGCAGGCAGTTTTCAACTGACTGAATAAAGCACAAATATTGCTCCTTAGCTAAACAGACGTCTGCAAATGCAAAGAACCTTGGCTCGCTACAAAGAAGAAGTCCACAACCGCCAATCCCTCCAAACTGTTCAACTCTTTCTGCATTTGAGTATACAACAGCAAACTACAGTCCACTGCTCACATGGCAAAACCTCTGTTATATAGATTGCTGGAACTGGAAACTTGACACCTCAGATCCTCAAAACTAGGAGTAAGTTTGTTAAATCCCAAACCCTCATTCTTTAGTAATTCTTGCAGTCTCAGGTCGTTAAAACCCCTATCTTCATTCCAGCTACCCCTATGGTAATTTGACATATGAGCATTTCTCAACTGTTGGATCGTTGATTGTGGGAATGAAAAAGGATTATATGCTGGGGATTGACCCAGAAGCATAGGTGACCTGCTGTAAGCATCATCAGGCTGAGAGATTCTATTCCATGAGTGATCTTGGAATAGCAGGCTCTGATGTGCATAAAGCGATTGTTGCATCAGCAGCTGAAGCCTTGCATCATGGTCAAAACTGCTTTGCAGTTGAGCTGATGTCCTTGTGCCAAAGCCTGGTTTATTGTACCCAGTAACCATAACTCCTTTACCAACTTCACGTATTGCAGGGTCAACGAATTCAACATCTCCAGAGCAGCCAATATTTTTAATTTGAGGTTCAGAAGTTTGTAGCAAATGACTTGCTGGATGGCAAAGAGAACAGTTACATAGTCAACAAAAAATAGGAAAGCAAAAAAAAAAAAGAAAGTTGTAAAAACACAAACCAGCACTATCAAGAGCCAGGTGCATAATTCCAGAAGTTGAAAACCCTGGAGGAGCTGCCTTACTAGGAGCTGAAAATCCAGGTGGGACTGAAGCTGGAGGTTTTGAAACTGTGTAAATGAAAAAAAAAAAATTAATAAAACGGTTACAGGCATAAAATATCAGTACACATGCTACCTACAGACACTGTATGATGAACAAGTGAAAATAATTAACTATAATTCTACAAAATGATATCTAATCTATCACCATCATCACCAAACATATTGCTAAGATAATTTGTCACCTCTATATCATAACAGAAAAACAAGAAAGAACAACTGATCAAAGGAGAGAAGCACACAAACCCTCTTCCAACCTAACACCTATCCTCCAAACTCCCAATCCCCTCCCATAAGAATAATAAATCATATAAAACTCATCAGAAAGCTTAGAAGACACAAATGTATGGTTGTTGAGAAGATTATTGGACTCCTCAGGAAAGTTGAATGAATAAGGATTCTGGTATTTCTCAATGCAAAGATCATTGATTGCATTAAAATCATGATGTGAAGAACATTTATTCAAGTCCATTAAACTCCCAAGTGAATCATCCAAAAGAGATGCTTGATTACTAAATTCCACCTGTCTCGCAAACAAGAACCTGGACTGATTGTTTTCTGTTATTTTTTCGCAAACTTGGAGGATTAACGGAAGCATGCTTTTCCTTAGTTTGTCTCAACAACTTAGCTAAACTGTCAGGTGAAGTAAATGAATCTTCCCATGGATCCAGCTCCATTGATAGGATTTTTGAGATTATGCTGTCTTCTCCTACCTCTGCAGTGGTGTCATTCTCAACATTAGCTACATTATTAATAATTTTCCTTTTCCTGATCCCAACTTATTTGAATAGTCAAAGCTCCTATCCAAGTCAGCATCGCAACCATCTATATTATTGTGGAACCCATTGGATGAGACTAGGTTCTCAGAGGTCAATGGAAAAGAAACTTGATCATGCAGGGGTACAATTCTGGAATGAGCAAGACAATCGGTTTGATGTTTTATCTTGCCTTGCTGCCAAGAGTTATTGCTCGACTTATTCAAACTCTGCTGCAAAGAAATTGAACAAGATGCGGAAGGCAGATTGCAGATGTTTCCAAGACCCTTCAATTGTTGATCATCCAAATCTAGTAAGTCCTCGGTAGTCATAGATCTACTCTGTAGTGGTAAGCTTGGGGCATAAACATTCTGCTCACCAATATCTTCCTGAAAGCTAAGACATCTAGGCACGCTGAATGAAGTATGAGTAGGAACAGAAATGTTAGCGATGATAGGAGCGGGTTCCTCATTTTCAGTGTGACCCAGGGTGCAGATTGAAGATAAATCTTGAAAATCCCCATCAATATTAATATTTTCATCATCTGAACCAGAAGTATGGGATGATTCAGGACAGTAGTTTATAGAGCTTTTGATGTTTATTGGTGCAAGTATGCAGTCCCCACAAGTTACAGGGGCAGAAGTCATATTTGAAAGAGTGTCTAATTTTCTATTTTCTATACGAGCTTGGTAATCACTATCAGGATACTCTTCAGAAAATTCTGTTCCACAATTGGGATGAATTTCACTGGTTTCTTCAGCTGTCACACTTTTCCAAACATCATGGGTAGATTGTTTGGTGTTTACAACTTCTGAAGAAACATGGGGACCAGCAAATGCATCAGGCTTATTATTTGAAAATGTACCTTGAGAACCTGACATATTTGGAACTGGTGACAAACTAGCAGAGACACGCATAACCCTGATACACAAAAGGCAGAGTAAATAAGAACTCATAACATGAACACCAATCTAGGATGGCACAGATCAAATGTTGTATACCATGAGGCTGCTGAAGGTAGTACAGAAGAATTTCCGGTGCCACCATCCACACAAGATTCCCTACTCTGGTTTCCAATATTCTGATAGAAAGAGGTCAAGTTGACTATATTATAATTCAAAAGTATGCACAGCATAAATCCTAATTCACAAGTATGCACACCATTACATTTTTAGTACAAATACCAATGACCTCAGCTATTGACTTACATTATATTATAAGGCACCATCATGTAGTTATCCCAGTTCAAAAAATAAGAAGCATACAATCTTTGGGGCTGGGATAGAACATATTATATGGAATCTTACATTTGAACTTTTGGCAACAGGTTTGGCTGATGATAATATGCTGCTACTGATGCACTCAGCCACTGGGGGAGGTAAAAGATTTCCTGAACGCCGATGTAAATTATTTGAAGCACCAATAGTTTGTTGCACTCTACTCCTTTATGACCATAACAAATTGATTTAGAATGATATAAAGAAGCTATTAATAAGGAGCATAAAAGCTCATAACTCAGCGGGCTTCAGGAGAAATAATAATTTAAATTGGGGAAAGAGTAAATGCTTAAAAATATAATCAAATGAAGAAACACGTCAACACTAAAATCTTAGAAATGCTTTACCCACTCACAAGTTGCAGGATATGGAAAATGTGTCATAAGCATAAAGTGCTATATTCTTGTTCAATAAAAAAAAAAGAGATGGAAGTGAAATCATCAATGAGGAAATCAGCTTTAACTACAGATTAATTAGAGGGTCATTACATAGATGATAGATATATACACACACATATGGGGCAAACTAATATAGTTATCGAATGGAAATACAATCCAAAGCATGAAATCTAGATTTTAGTATATCATCCATGTCCACTTAAAAAAATCCTTAAACTTTAAAAATGCACACAAACCACCTTTCAAAGTTAGAATGAAAATACCGTCTAATTATGATATAAACAAATTTCACATGAGAAGAAACTCAATGAAATGTTAGAATTATTCAAACCACTAAGAAATTATATGAAAGCATCCAATCATTACATGATGAAGGGTCAAGCTGAACTTTAAAATGATCTAGAAAGGATAAATAGGAAAATTTTGAGTTGTTTCTGCACATTCAAACACATGCCTAATGCACAAACATGCAAACACGGGCACAAATGCACTGAGTCAGGCAAATATCGATAGAAGAGCACATGCCTTGAAAAGGAACTATTTCATCCTTGTTAAAATGCACAAGCACTGAATGAAGCAAATATTAATAAAAGAGCATATACCTTGAAAAAGCTGAAACTATTTCATCCTTGCTAAAACTATCTTCTTGGGAGCCGAAATCATGCAAATACAAGCAATCTGGAATGTTGCAGGGCTGGACCAATAAAGCACTCACCAGATTACAAGCAAAATAAAGTCTCTTTTTTCTTAGTGAAGAAAAACTTCAACAAAACATCAATAATATATTCCTTACCACATTTCTCAGCCATGCATGGCAATATTTGGTGGTTCCAAAACATGCACTGTGAAACAACTTTAGCTAGTCATCATCTGGCAATAAAAAATAAAACCTGAACAAACATACATACTTACCTCAACGGTCTACCTTCTAAGACAAAGCTGTGCACAGATTGAATGCAGCAAACTGCTTCCTCCTCCTTTGAGTAAGTTACATACCTAACAAGTATGCAAAGAGGCATGCCAAGGCAGAGAAAAACTGATTAGACCATAAGCAGGAAGAATAAGACGAGGAACAAAGAGAAAGATAATCAAACTAAGTTTAAAGAACTTTCAAGAAATGGCCAACAAGCTTACACGCAACAACTATTGTTTGATGAATGTTGAATAACACCATTCGCTGTTTTAGATATCAACACCTTCAGAACCTTTCCATACTGGCCAAAGTACTCTCTTCGTTGAAGAAGCTGTCAGAAATGAGAAAATCTAGCCTAAGCACCTTTAATGTTTTCTCATTAAAAAACAAAAAATAATTATAGGAAAATGTAACAGCAGCATACAAGACCTACACATAAGCAAAAATAAGATACACAATAATCTGGAATCTACCCACATCTTCATCTGCAAGGTCAAGTGGCAATCCAATTATGTAAACCAGATTTCTCTTAATAACTCTGATGTTACTAAGATGCATCCTTCCTTCAGATACTTTAGGCTTTGTCTTATGTGTTTTCTGTTTCCATTCTGAATTAATTTCAGCCACCAATCTGTCCAGCAGATCCAATCATCAACATCAATACACAATTAAGCATACATCAAATAGTTAACAACCAAAAATTAAAACAACCTTTCACAGTTTGCAGCCATTCCCACAATTTTCTCTTTGTCGTAAGTTGAACGATAGGCTGGGCAACGACCCTCAGTGTTGTCCTTTTCAGCCATTTCCATTATGTGATGCCAGCACCAAACACATATCTGTAGATCAAGAAAATTCAAGAGAGTGAAACACAGTACAAATGGGAAGTAAGAGCAACAATTTTCCTTTCCCCCTGGTTCATCTGTGGGCAAAGAATAGTGATCAAACCTCGTAACCACATTTGCAAGGCTTCAGTTGCTGATCAGTCAAATCCATTTCCTCAGCACATAATGGGCATGTTTTTTCTCCCTTGTCACACATGATTGTCCTAAAAAACAGACATTAACAATAAAATTAAGAATCAATAATGCTTCTTTCTCAATCTCTAGAGGCAATCATCTCATGTTCATAAATGACAACAACACGAAGGGCTGAAAAAGTTACACACTCTGTAATTTTAGCACAGCATTGTCCAAATGCACTCATTTGACTATTTCATTTTCAAGAAGCAATTACATCACTAAGTTCATTGATAACAGGTTTGCATGAATATAACAGCAGCAGCAATACCCCAACTACAACATTCTAAGCAAGAAATAAGAGCAATAATTAAAAAAACAATAATAAGTAAAATTACAGCAAGATTATTAAAGATTATAGCTTTTAGGTTTTTCCACTCACTGTTTCAATTCAAAACTAATAAGCTGTTAAGCTCACCAGTAGCAAGAGTGGTTGTGAAGCTTCAAAGTCAACAAGCCAAAAAGTCAGCTCACTTAGAGCTCAGCTAAGCCCTTTTTCACTTTTTTTTTTTTTTGCATTATTGATTCATGTTTCCTGTTTCCATGGAATAGGAATAGCCAGTTGGATTTTGCAGTTAATTGAAGGTTGTTTGGCGTCTATGTGGCCCATTTCTCGACCACCTCCCCCAGCCTATCGTCAGTCCAGCTTTTTAAGAGTTTTCCTGGCTTGGGCTTTTGTAATTACCCATGATTCTTGCTGACCTGTGAATTCAAGTTGTGTGTACATAAAATAAAGTTTTTATTTATTTATTTTTATATATTTTATATAATATTAATAAATCATATGATATTATTTTATTAATAAAATTTTTTAAAAAAATAAGATAGTGTTCGATTTCAAAAAATAAAGTCATTTTCTGTTTTTATTTTCTTGAAAAATGAAAATATTAGTGAAAATGTGTTTGGTATTTGAAAATGAAAATGAATTTTTAAAAAATAAAAATAAAATAGTTTGAAATATGAAAAAAAAAAAAAAAGATATTTTCAATTGTAAAAATAACGGATTTACATTTTTTTTTCTTGTGTTTTGTTAGTTATCATATTTAAACATTTTTTGATGTCATTCATTAATTAATATATATTTATACTTAGATGCCATTCATAATAATATTATTAAATATTTTATTTATTTCCTTATTTTTACATTTTTTAAAAAACAAAAAGTATAAAATGAAAACAATTTTCTTGAAAAATAAAAATAAAAATAAAAACAAAAAATATTTTCTTAAACTAAACCGAACATAAATTTTTATGTATGTATTTTAAGAGTCGACCCCAAAATTATGGGATATAAAGTTTAATTTTTTTTATTGTTATTATTGTATTTTAAGGATTTGTAAAAGTTAACGTTTGTTTATAAATGAAGTTGTATCATATATCATAATAACAATATATAAAATTTATATATTAATAATACATTAAATATATATCTTTTGTAATATTAAAAACTATAAAAATATCAAATAAAAGTACACTAATATTATGTGAACAGTCTTTTCATAACATGAGAATAATGACAATAAATCACTTACAATTATTATTATAATTAATTAATAACAATTTAAAATTACAAACAAAATTTATAAAAATTTTATATAAAATTTATACTTATAAATGACAAATTCTTATCTAATTTTTATTATAATTAAATAATTATTAAATTATAATATAAATTTACTGGTAAAATGCACCCTAAGATAATGTATAAAAATTAAATTATTATTCATGCAATCAAACGAAACCAAAGCAGATGTTAGATAATTAAGTAAATTTAATTAATTTATAATTTGTATGAATCAGAAACTAATTCAAGTAGTTCCACAAACACGTGACAACAAATTAACCGGTCCAAGGTATTATCTTGTCCTTTCTAGGGATATACCCCTTCGTCCACGTATAAGGCCCATGCACCCTACGATTAAAATAATCCGACCGTCCAAACTAAACACCAGAATCTTCTTGCCGAGACAGCTCCTCCTATACATATATTTTCTAGTCGATCCTGGCAGGTTCCGTGGATCATGCTCGTGTAACGTTCAGCATTTGGTCATGGCGAAGAAGTACTATCCAACCGTGAGCGAAGAGTATCAAAAATCAGTGCAGAAATGTAAGAGAAAGCTTCGTGGACTTATTGCCGAGAAGCACTGTGCCCCCATCATCCTCCGTCTAGCGTAAGCTCGTTAATACTATTTGATTTCGTTTTTTTTTTTTCTTGATAGTAATCAGTTCCCATAATAGCTGAATGATTTGTGTTTGTGGAGCAGATGGCACTCAGCTGGAACATTTGATGTGGACACCAAGACAGGAGGGCCTTTCGGGACGATCAGGCATCCGGATGAGCTTGCCCACGAAGCCAACAACGGTCTTGACATAGCTGTTAGGCTTTTGGAGCCCATTAAGGAGCAGTTTCCCACTTTGTCTTACGCAGATTTCTACCAGGTATCGGTGTTTTCTTTTTCTTTATTTCTTAGTTATGTACTGAATTTTTTATTGACTTTGATGTGGTTTACTGATTGAAGCTGGCTGGAGTTGTTGCTGTTGAAGTGACAGGAGGGCCTGAGATTCCTTTCCACCCTGGGAGACCGGTGTGCGAATCTTCCATGTTTGAATCACACCTTAGTTATATAACTGACCTGTTTGCTTATACATAACTTGTATTTATTTCAGGACAAAAATGAACCACCTCCAGAGGGTCGCTTGCCACAGGCCACGAAAAGTCAGTTTGTTTCGGTTCAAATCATGCATAAACTGATAATTACAAGTGTTTGTTTGTAAAGTGATGATGTTTCCAATCTTCAATTTGTTTCAATATAGGTTCGGATCATCTGAGAGATGTGTTTGGGCACATGGGTCTTAGTGATAAAGACATTGTTGCTTTATCTGGTGGTCATACACTGGTGAGTTGATGATCATTGAATTATATAGTGAGATTATGTTTCAGCTGTTCACAGTTTAATGTGTCCTATCAATCTTGTGAATATTTTACAGGGCAGGTGCCATGAGGAGCGCTCTGGCTTTGAGGGACCCTGGACCCCCAATCCTCTCATTTTTGATAACTCCTATTTCAAGTAAGAACTATTTATAAAGTTCTTTGTTGAGAGTAGATGCTCAATTCCTTGCCTTGTAACCCATATTCTTACATTCTTGTTTGAACAGGGAACTTGTCAGTGGAGAGAAAGAAGGTCTGATACAGTTGCCAACCGACAAAGCACTTTTGGAAGATCCTGGCTTTCGCCCTCTTGTTGAGAAATATGCAGTAGTGAGTATCAATTCATGTTTTTGTGTCCTTTGCTATATAAATCCAGTAGATCTCTATTCAATTAGCCCCCATCATGTGATTCAATGGTTTACAAACTTGAGCTTTTGGGTATGGTGTTCTGCATTAGGATGAGGATGCCTTCTTTGCTGACTATGCCGAATCTCATTTGAAGCTTTCAGAGCTTGGGTAAGTAGGAACAAACCCCCTTTCAAGCCTCTGTATAGAAATCCATTTGTCTAACCTCCATTGTAATTTTACGATTGCTTTTACCACCTTTTAGATTCGCGGATGCTGAGTAGGAGACTGGCAAAAGCATCATGATCATGCTGATGTCTGGCGTCTGGTTTTGTCATGTTAATTTTCAGACAAGATAATGCCATCGTTTATGAGTCCTTGCTGTTTGGATAAACATGTTGCTGTAAAATTTTGTGTTGTGTTGCAGTTATGGGTTTGCCTGTTTAAAGAATTACTCGTAAACACTAGAATGATGTATTTAATAAGCATTTGGGATCAGGAATCGTCTGTGTTTGATGTATGTTTAATGGGAAAAGAATAAGCATTAAATCTAATAAACACATATAACATATAATTAAAAGAATCCGTAAGGATTCTCTGATGGACACCTGTCCTATTATATAAAAAAAATCATTTCAACTTTTAGTCAATATAACTCTATATATTTATATTTTATATATTAAAAATATCTTATTAAGTATTAATGATCGACGCGTTCAGTTTATAGGTGAGATTAATAATTGATTGTATTTTTTTTGTTTGATTATTGAAGGGTTATTCCAATAATGGATTGTATTATTTTTGTTGTTGGGTTTAAAGAGAGATAAATGATTTGAAAATTTGTTTGATCCACTTTAGAAAAATTTATATATCAAACTCTATGTACTTAAAGGCAAACTCTAGCAAATGAGATATTTCATATTTAAATAAATGATTTGAAAATTTGTTTGGTGTGCTTTAGAAAAATTTTTGTATCAAACTCTATGAGTTTAAAAGCAAATTCTAGCAAATGAGATATTTCATATTTAAATGTTTTTTCCTTTCTATTTTTAAGGGGGAATGGGAGGAAGGATATTAAAATAAAAAGGAAAATTGTTGTGATAAAAAAAAAAAAGACCTAATCCTATGAGAGTCAGGGATTGATAATTTACTACGTAAATTTTTTGATAAAAATAGATTAAAAATATATAATAAATTAATTATTTGAAAATTCAAAGATGAGAATAAAAATAATAAATTTTTTAAATAAATTAGCGAGATAAAGATAATTATTATATCCATAAAAATATTCAAAGTAACAAAACCTTAAAATTCCTCTATATATATAAAAACAAGACCATTGCAAATGAGATTTCTAAATGCAGGTTTCCCAAATAATGCAGTTGATAAAAGCATAAGAGTGTAAAACCATCTACAAGTTTGATCTAGCCCCTCAGCCACAAAATGCCCAGGAAAAATTTTCTCAAAAAGGTTCAACATTCTCAAATGGATAATGGATGTAAGCATAAGGCATTGATCCACTCTCGAACCAACAATCAAATACATCATCTATACGTCGTAGCACACCAAACTCTTGACCGCGGGTAGAGGGTACAGTGATATGATCAATATTGTGACGACGGACATCAAAGACCTTAGCCCGGAAGTATTTCAAGTTTTTCAACAGAGTCCATGACTATTGGGAACCATGCAGTCGGAAAAACAAAACCGAAAAACCGAGAGAATTGTGCGACTAATAGCCTACAAGCCAACAAACACGAAAGACCCTGTAACCCTTGGGATCACTGCCGCGATGGTCAGAGTATATGTAAAATTTATATATATTAATTTGTTATTAAAAATAATTTTTTTAAATAAAAAATTTATGTTTTTTTTAATATTTTTGTTTTAAATTATATCAAATAAAAATATACGTTATTGAATGATAAATTAAATAATAAAAAATATTAACATACTTTTATTTTAGTAAATTTAACAAAAATATTATGCAAAATACGGAAAATATTAAAAAATATGTGAACAAAATAAAAATAATAAAAAATATTATTTTTTATAAGAATGAAACTGTAATAACAATAAAATATATATTGAAAAAATTATAAACAAAAAAATTGTAATAGTAATAGAATATACTTTAAAAATAGTTACTAAAAAAAATAATGTATAACACATTACATTTGTAATATTAAATTTATAAAAAAAAATTCTTTAGTAGTAATTAAGATTAAATAGATAAATATTAAATTATTATTTTTTATTTTAAATTAAATATAATAATTGATAAAGATAATATTAAAATTTTTTCATTTATTTGAAATATAAAATTGATAATTAGAGTTCAATTTGATATAATTATTTTGATGATCTTATTATGTAAAATTTTAAGATAATTTTTTTAAAAAATTTCAAAATCTTATATATAGTTGCTATAATTTTTAATTTCTTACATAAATTTTTTTAAAATAAATTTTTAAATCAAGATAAAAAATATTATTGAAAGATTTAGATAAACTTAATTTTTATAATTTTTAAAAATGTTTGAAAGATTTTGATAATTAAATAATTTTTTAAATAAAAATTATTTGATAAACAACTAAAATTATTTATTAAAAAAATAAAATTCATATTTTATATTTTATATTTTAAAAAGTATATCTCTAAATTGATTTGATTTTCAATTATAATTTGAATAATTTTGATACTAAATAAATTTAAAATTATTTAATTTGTAATTAAAAGAAGTTATCTTATTCTATTAAAAAACTATCTTATGTATCATTTAAGAGAGTTGTCAATGTAAGTGTTCGTTTTATAAACTTGTACGTATGTTGTTATATAATAATATATATATATATATATATATATTAGATTAAGTGAATATATACAAATATTTGAATACCCGGTGGCATATTACAATATTTATAACTTTTTCTTTATTTTTTCTTAAATTATTTTTATGAGTCAATTAATCATTACAACATAGTAAATATTTCAATATATACATATTTTAATTTTTATAAAAAAATGATATGACAAATTAAGTTTATAACTATGAAATACTTAGTTGTAATTAAAAAATGAATAAAAAATATTTTAAGAAATAAAAATTAATAAATTATTACAAATATATTTATTTATAAAATATATTTTGACTATTTAATTTATATATGTTAAAATAAAATAAAAAATAAAATAATATAAACAATCTTACAATGAAGTGCGGGACGCATTATAGTTAAGTATTAAAATGAACAGTTTGCCAAAAAGAAATGGCACGATGAACTTGTAGAAACTAAATACAACGATTAGAGATGTCAACAACTTTAGTCAGAATGGATTTTTTTTTTTAAATTTGATTCAATTTTATTTAATAAATATTCGAATCAATCTCATATTATATTAAAATATTCTTTTTATATTTAAATTCGAATTACATATATATAAAATTATAATTTATTCAATTTGATATAAAATTAATAAAATATTTTTAATATAAAATATAAAATTAAATAAATATAAAAAATAAAAATAATATATATATATATATATATATATATATATACTGGATTTGATCAATATGTATTTATTTAAAACCCAACCTTTTTTTCTTTTTTAAACCACCACCCAATATTTTGTTTATAAAAAGAAAAAAAAAAAAACCGACTTCATAAAATTAGATGGATCGACGGGCTCAATTGCATGATTTCTAACATTCCACTCATTTTGGAAACTCATTTTTCTATCATTTTAGCTGCTTCGTTTACGAGAAGCCCAATAAATATTTGCATACTCCTTCGCATAATTACCTAAAGTAGGCCCCAAGTCAATTGTGTGGCGGCAATGAGAAAAGCTTTTTATTTTTTTATAAATAATTTCAGTAATTCAATTTAATAAAAAAAATGCAACAAGGTTTGTTAATAGAGTATTGCACTTAGTTTTAGTTATTAATATTCAAATTTTGATGGATTTAAATATTAAAAAATTAAATTTAATGATTGATTATATTGTTTAATTAAAAATTCACTTGATATATTAATATAATGATGTTAAAATTTTAATTTTAATAATTAAGATTCAAATCATAAAAATTATATAAATAATTCTTATCTATACAAAATTTATATACATTTTTAAATAAATGATAATTAATAATAAAAAGTATAATTTATGAAAAAACTACTTGATAATGAGCTTTTAGGATAATCCAATGGTTATTGTTTATCTAATCATATAGTATTATGGTGATAATCATTATCTCTAATCAACCAAAGATGTTGGATAAAAGAATATATGATTTGATAACGTCGAATATGGTAATAAAATATGAAATATTTCAAAACAAATTGGGTTTTTTTTTTTGTTACGTAATTTGATGACATTAATGGAACCAAATATTTTTTCCATGAAGTTTTAATAGATTTATATCTAATTTTTTTTTTTCTTCTCAAATTTGTGTAATATGCCAAAAATAAAAGTATAACTCTTACATTTTTTTAAAATATTTAAATCAAAATTAAATAATATTTAAATTTTAATAATTTTAATTCAAATTTATTATGAAAATTACACTAACTTAAATGGATTCCTATTAAAAAAAAGTCTTTTGTATGTGTGAATTTGTATTCGATATTTTTTCTTCTTTGGCATATAAAATAAAAGTATAAAACGCATCAAAAAGAAAACTACAACGACGTCGTAGAAGTTGACAAGGTTAAAACCACCAAACACGTGGTCAAATGGGAGAGCGCGACCTAATCCAGAAACAGAAACTGCAGAAAAACCGGAAATATAAAAATAAAACCCAACGAACGGTGTTGATAAACCTCATTATCTCATCCGAGTCGTCTCCTCTTTCCTCTCTTCTCCAGCGTCCGATCCCCTCTCTTTCTTCTCCTGTAATCCAATCTCCCTTGCTCCCGCCCTTTTCTTTTTTTTTTGTTCTTTTCATTTTTTCCACTAAGGTAAATTTCCCTTTTCCCTCCTTCCCAAGCTCTTTCTTCCTCTTCATATCCTCTTTTCATATTCTTAGGGTTTTGGATCAGAGACAAAATATTTAAAATTTTTATTATGATTTTCAATTATTTGTTGGAGTTAGGGTTTTCGCTATGGCTGGGGCACCGGCTCCGGCGAGTCCCGGCGGAGGAAGTCACGAGAGCGGCGAGCACAGCCCAAGGTCCAATGTGCGAGAACAAGACAGGTATCTTCCTATCGCTAACATAAGCCGTATTATGAAAAAGGCTCTTCCTATCAACGGCAAGATTGCTAAAGATGCTAAAGAGACCGTACAAGAGTGCGTCTCCGAGTTTATCAGCTTCATCACCAGCGAGTACGATTCTTTACTTTTTTTTCTTTCAATTTTCAATTTAGGCATTTCTTAACTGTTTTAGTGTAATTGGAAAATTGGTCATGAATTGATGTACAGAGCTAGCGATAAGTGTCAGAAAGAGAAGAGGAAGACAATTAACGGGGATGATCTGCTCTGGGCTATGGCGACTTTAGGGTTTGAAGATTACATCGATCCCCTTAAGATTTACCTCACCAAATATAGAGAAGTGATTATCTCAAAGCTCTTTCATTAATTTTTCTTCATTATGGTTCCTCCTTTCGTTGCTAGCAAAGGAAAACAAAAAGGAATATTTATTTTGGATCTTAAATTTTGTGACTCTTTAATCTAAGGTAAATGAAAGGTTATTAGCCTATGTGTTGGAGGCAGAGTTCAATAACTTCACAAATGGGTTTGCAGCATGTCTATTTAACTAATTGCGTCACCTGAATAATTAAATTGCGATTTCCTTATATCTAGTTTAATGGGCATGTGACAATCATATACATAATACATCTGCTCATTAAGTTTCTTTTTAGACTCAAATGCTGGTGTATATGATAATAGTCCATATGAAATAATGGTAAAGAATTTGGCTTATGGATGGTCAAAATTTGTGAGATTTCTAAGTTTTGTTCTTTTACTTGTGATTTCTCTGCAATCGGAGGGGCTCTGATTTTAAATACTTTGGTGTTGTCTTACTTCCATTCTCTGCTTTTATTGCTAAATTTTTAATAAACTGATTGATTTTTTTTTGTTACTCTGGTGGGTTTCATGGTCAATTGGGACATTGCAGATGGAGGTGAGTTAATGTTTTCATCAAATCATGTAGCAACTTCATTAAATAGTTTATAATCTTACGCTTGTCTCCCCCAAGCTACCTCTCTGATGGTATGGCTTTGGTTTGTAAATTATGTTGTTTGACAGGGTGATGCCAAGGGCTCGGCTAAAGGTGGAGATGCATCTGCAAAGAAAGATGTTCAACCAAGCCCAAATGCCCAGGTGGAATATAAGTTTTTTGTTACTCTTAGATTCGTTTTAGTTTTGGTCTTCGTTCATTGCACTTTTTAGTTCTTAAATAAAGTTCATGCCTACTAAAACTATGCCATCTTATTCTCTGATCTTTCTGGTAAATAATTCTGGCAGCTCGCTCATCAAGGTTCATTCTCACAAGGAGTTAATTATGGGAATTCTCAAGTAATCTCTCTCTCTCTCTCTCTCTCCCTGTGCATCATGGAACATGTCAATGCATAAATACCCTAATGATTCTTTACATGTTTTCATAGGTTGATTTAAGCATGGTTATCCTGCCTTTTTATTTGGGTTTAGTATCTCATATGGCAACTTATGTTGCCAACAATCAGAACATAGCCTTTCGAGCTACAAATGGAAAACAATTTTTATTTGCAAATCCTTGTCTCGTATACTGTCAATAAATAACACAATATAATGAGTTTATCCATTGATGCATCCAAACATTGATGTGAAGGATCTGTCTTGATGCTGTTAAGTATATTTAAAGGAACCAATATTCTGAACAGTGTTAGTGATATCGTGTATAAACCTGTTGGCATAACTGCTGGTCTAATTATGTTAAATCTTTTAATTGACAGCATAACCTGACAGTGGTTGCTTACGTAATTATCACATATGAATACGTACGAATGCTTAGGTGCATTATAAGATCATCCTATATGAAAGATTTATTACATATGTAGATAATGATGGACTTAGATTGGAATGCAATCTGATTGTCCATAGTGTACAAATGTAAAACCTACTCAGAGAAATGAGTTTAGCACAACATAATATCAGATAGAAACCTAATCCTAAAGAAAAGGATAAAACCCTTCACTGAAAAATCATAGAAATGGAAGAAATAGGTTCAGATTCACATGGTTGAAATTGTGATCATAGAGTTCGTAAATGAAGCCACACGGAGGATCTTCACAGAGTTTAGTAGCTTTTTGACTATCTGTAGCACAATCTTTTATTGGTTATATTTGCCTAACTCATTTATTTATTTATTTTATGGAACCTAACTCATGTTATAGAAGTGAGAGAACCATCATAAAGGTCCCCATTTCTTTCGCTTGAAAATTTATTCATATTACTTTGTAAATGTCAATATCATAGCAACCCATAAGAAAAGTGTGCGGTTTAAACAGTACACAATTCAAATACTAATAATATTTGGCATTTGAGTCTTGCAAATGTCCTCTATTGCATCCTGTATACATGCTATGCATTTATGGAAATGGTATATTATATCATAAGTAGTCGATGTTGCTTTTGGCTCTTTTAGAATATTACATGTACTTGCACACTTTGAAGTAGTTAGCAAATCGGGATGTGATTCGCATGTATTACATGTAGTTTTATCCTGCGCTGACTATTGCTAAAGTCCTACTGGTTAAATTGGGATGTGATTTGCATGGGTTTTAGTCTAGCCTCTTGGTTGGTTTACTGAATAACATCTTGAATACAACATCCTCAGAGAACATAATATTGCTAATGCCCTGCATCGTCTTTTATAACATTTGAAAGTTTACTTAGGGTTAAAAATTACTTATACTTGAAGAGTAACTCTGCTTTTGTAGTGATTGTCATCATGAAAAGAATGTAGCAAATTTTGCTTCCTACTAGGGGAAATCAGGTTACTGGCCCATTATACCTTAAAGCAAATGAAGTTTGAGCTGGTTGATACCTTATGTGATCCATGCAACTTTTTTGCTACTAAGTAATTTCAATGCCCAGCATCTTAACCTCAAAATTTGAAATCCATTTCTCTTTTCTTTTACTTCAAAAAAACAAATAATTCGTTTCACCCCTCTTATGAATTCTTTGGTATGTTCCATCATTCATATGTATTACGTATATACATGAAATGCTTTCAATATTGGCTGGTTGTTTGTTTTTCTTTTTCTCCATTTTTCTCTTTTGAGTTTTATTTTTCCCAAACTAATGATGACTCATTGTTGCTATGACGCATCATCTTCAATCACTACATTTCTGCCTTATGCTCGGTAATCTTTAAAAGTAGAAGAAAAAAGACTTGTTTGGTTGGTTCTCATATCTTTCAACTTTTGTAGTCTCAGGCCCATCTGATGGTTCCATTGCAAGGCACTGACTAGAGATTCACCCTTATTCGGTGAATTCCATTATCTAAATCCCAATCAATAACATGTTTCATTGCCACAAGTAGTATCAATACGTCCATCTGATGTTAAGACTGACAATTTGGATGGTTTGCGTCCTCTTATCTTGTAAGCTGTTATTTTCCAGTAATGTTATATATCAGGTGTCCTTTGGAATAGATTCACCTTTCAAAGAAATGTGTAAATCTTGGGAGGTTATCGTAGATTTGAGCTCATGGTGAGGACATAATATTCTGGCAATGACATCGATTAGGGAACTTCTTATGCTTCTGTTAATCCTATTTTTATATGACTTCAAACAATGTAAGGTCGATTGTTCAGTCAAATGGACGGGATTATTTATTTGATTGTTGATTTCTACTGTCAGTTAATTCTGCCTTTTTTAGGTAAATCATGTTATGGTTTTTTTTTTTTTTTTAATTCCTGGTTATGGGTATGTTATTCGAGTTTCCCACGCTGTCACCTTTGATTTAAAGAGATAGAAAAGGCAATGTAAATTCTATCAAAGAAGAAAGCACATAGTCATCATGGGATATGCACATTTCATTGATGATAATTCAAAGGGTGGGGTTAATATGAGGGAGAAGATCTTCTAGATGACCCAATGTCGTCCACTTCGTAGTTGTTGCTTTCGCAAGAAGCTTTACTTGGTTTAGACACCAAGGTTCTACGTCAACGAACTTCGGCTTGGCTTTTGCGTGCCCCGTCCAATGTGGCTTTGCTTTCTACATCTCAGACGTACGATTCGGTGCGTTGAAAAACCAAAGCACATTGTTTTATATTACTATCATTTTTTTGAAGTAATGCTTGATATTTTTTATGCAACAACAAAAGCAATATAATAAATTTTTTAATTTCATACGTAAAATTTAAAAAATTTTACCAAAAATCATGAAATAATAATTTTTAATGTTTTAATTGAATATGATGAAACAAATGTATTATATAAAAATTATTTTTAAAATGATAATTTTATTTTTTTTAGCCAGATAATAATTTAAGTAATTTAGGAAATGTTATTGACATCAGGACTCATTTGCAATTGGGCTGGACCAAATGTCCATGAGGACCATGACCTTGAATCAAGAGTCAAGAGGCGATGCTAACTTAAAAGACCGTGGCCAAAATCTAATGATCGTATGGCTATAATTGTCTCCTCTTATCACAAAGTGACAACCAACGATCATAATCTGTTCGGCGAGTTCTCCGAAGGTGTACGATATTCAATACGGCTCAGTCGCACAAGATTATGTTGACCAGCATATGATATAATACTAGCTTATTCACAATCTCAACAAGATTCAATCCCCGTCTCTCTCTCTCTCTCTCTCGGTTTCCATCGTCATCAGTTCATCACAATCTCATAAAGACTCCTCTTAAATTTAAGCCACAGAGAATAAAAAAGAAAAAAGCGTCAGCAAGAGGAAGAAGAAAAAGAAAGATAAGAAAAGAAAATACAGGAAGGAACAAAAGATCATCTCCCTTCTATAAGTGAATTTGATTCTCTCTCGAAACACCGATTAACCAAAAATTCTTCTCTTTTAGGTACGTATAAGGAGAAAAATTGAAAATTTGTGAATGTGATGATTGTTTTATTTTCTTTTGTAGCTCATTGCTTTTTGTTTTCTTTTCTCTTTAATTTACGTTTTGTTCTTTTTCCTTGATTGTTTTTACATTTTTGTTAGTTGTTTTGAGGAGTGATAATTTGTTTATGGTTTTGATGAATCGGTTACTTTCAAACTAACCCTAATTTTTTTGTTTGTTTTAATTTTTTTAAGAAAGGATTTTCCTATGTGATTTTTTTAAAAAATTTTATTTACAATATCACAGGTTTGAGTGAAATATTTGTTGAGAAAAGCTTCGGTTAAAGGTTTACAAATGGGAAATCGAGGACAGAAACGAACGGAAACAGGCAAAGAATTACCGGCAGATAAGCGAGCTTGTTGTAGCTCAATCCAAACTCAGCACAATTCGCCAAATTCCACTCCCCGTGCTGACGTGGACACTTCCTCCTCCGCCTCAGCTTCCAGCCGATCAGACGGCGAACACGAGAAGGAAGAAGATTCAGCTTACGGATCTTGCGATTCCGACGACATGGAGCAACAACCACACCGCATTTTAAGAGACTATCAGAGAAGAAGATCATCGAGTGATCATGGAAAATTGAAAAATATTTTGTCAAATTTGAACGAAGAAGGAAATGGAGGTTCTGGTCAATTGGCTGCGTTGACAGAACTTTGTGAAGTGTTGTCGTTTTGTAATGAGGATTCGCTTTCCAGTTTGATGGCGGATTCTTTATCACCAATACTTGTAAAGCTTGCGAAGAACAATGATAATGCTAATATAATATTGTTGGCAATAAGGGGTATAACTTACTTATGTGATGTCTTTCCTAGATCATCTGGTTTCCTTGTTAGGCATGAAGCTGTTCCTGCTCTTTGTCAAAGATTATTGGCCGTTGAATATGTGGATGTAGCTGAGCAGGTAAAGTTTTTAAGCTAGTTTGTTAGAGTATAGTGTGATTGAAGTAAATGAATTTTTTATGCTAAGAAAATATAGTGTGATTGAAGTAACTGAATTCATTATGTTAAGGAAATGTTGGTTTTTGTTATGCAGTGTTTGCAAGCGTTGGAGAAAATATCTCGTGATCAACCACTTGCTTGTTTAAAGGCTGGTGCAATTATGGCTGTTCTAAATTTTATTGATTTTTTCTCAATTAGTGTGCAGGTGATTCAATGTGTATTCTGTTCTTACTTTGAGAATTGGGATATATGTTGTTTATTGAATTTTGATTCTAAATTTGCCAATTAGAGAGTTGCACTTTCTACTGTGGTGAACATTTGTAAGAAACTTCCTTCGGAGGGTCCTGCACCTTTCGTAGAAGCCATTCCCAAATTATGTGATTTACTTCATCATGAGGACCAACAGGTTTTTAACTGCTTGTAGTTTTCGTCGTTTGGATGACTCCATAGATTTATTTCTCTAATATTTTAATCGACACAAGAACTTCTACATTGTTCAAAATTTCCAGCTTGTTGAAAGTGTGGCAACTTGCTTGATCAAAATATCTGAGCGAATGTTTGAGTCTTCTGAGATGCTGGAGGAACTTTGTAAGCATGAGCTTATTAATCAAGTCACACACCTTATGAACTTGAATAGCCGAACTACTATATCCCAGCCAATCTACAATGTATGCAAATTTCCTTGATCATGGTTCAGAGATTAGCTATATTCATATTTCACTGCCAGTTAAATGGTGATTTGATTGTTACATGTTGGTTGGCAGGGCTTGATAGGATTACTTGTCAAACTTTCTTCTGGTTCATTCGTAGCTTTTAGGAGACTGTATGAGCTAAATATAAGCAGCCCTCTGAAGGATGTGTTATCTACTTATGACCTCTCACATGGAATGTCTTCTTCACACTTGGTTGATGGCAATTGCAATCAGGTTTGGATCTTAGACTAGACAACTTCTCTCAAGGCTGATCTGTTTTGGTTGGCAATGGCTTGAACATTATTCTAAGTCTATTGTTGTAGTGGAAAATCGTAATTACTTTGGTGGGGCACCAAGTTCATCTCCAACCATAATTCTGTTATTTATTGGTTGTCTAGCTCTCAAGCTCAATGGTCAAGTTTTAATAACTCTATTTAAGCCAACAGTAGGTGTTCTATTATCAGAAGAAAAGGTACTGATCTCTATTGCAATTTTTTGTCGCAGGTGCATGAAGTTCTGAAATTGCTCAATGAGCTGCTTCCCACCTTGGCTGGAGGTCATGGTAATCAGGTAGTGTTGGATAAAGAATCATTTTTAGCTGATCATCCTGATCTTCTGCAAAAATTTGGAATGGATATACTTCCCACATTGGTTCAGGTTAGCTTCCTGATATGTACAGCTGAAATTGTTGTATTTTGTCCTTTCAATAGCTTTATGCGAGATGCTTCACCAATTGCACAGGTTGTTAATTCTGGTGCAAGCATATATGTTTGCTATGGCTGTCTATCTGTTATCAGCAAGTTACTTTTTCTCAGCAAATCTGACATGCTTGTTGAATTGCTTAAGACTGCCAACATTCCAAGGTGAATAGGGATCTTTGTTCTTTTTTAGTTAAATCCCTAAAAGATATGTTGACAGTTCTTGAATATATTTTCATGGAATCTATAAATGGCAGTTTCCTGGCTGGCGTGTTTACTCGAAAGGATCACCATTTGCTGATGTTAGCTCTACAGATTGCTGAGATGATCCTACAAAAGCTTTCTGATGTTTTTTTGAACTCATTCATAAAGGAGGGTGTCTTTTTTGCCATAGATGCACTGCTAATGACAGAAAAATGCTCACAAGTGATACTTCCTGTTTTCAGCGGTGTCCGACCATCATTTGATTCAAGCCAAAAATCTTCAGCAATGGAGGTCCAGCGATGCTTATGTTATGCATTTGATACAGTGCCATGTTCCTCGGTTCTACCTTGCAAGCTTGACAAGGATACTGTTCACAATCTTGCAAAACATATTAAAACCAATTACTTTGCTCCAGAATTATTTGACTCTGATAATGGAATGACTGATATTCTTCAAAACCTCAAAACCTTCTCTGCTGCCTTGAGTAATTTGATAATCATGCCTCTTACTGATGAAACTCCTGCTCAACATGAGGAGAAGTTCAACAGTATTTTGCATCAAATTATGCTGAAGCTTAATGGTGGAGAGTCTGTTTCCACTTTTGAATTTATTGAAAGTGGAATCGTGAAATCGCTTATGCATTTCCTATCTAATGGTCTGTACTTGAGGGATAATGTGGAATTTACTGGCATTTATGATCATTTGCTTGTTCTGCGAAAAAGATTTGAGGTGTTTGCAAAGCTGTTTTTGTCTTATTCAGATGTCCCTGTTGAGGACTTGCCTCTGTCAGTACTAATACAAAAATTGCAAAGTGCATTGTCATCTTTGGAAAATTTCCCTGTTATTCTTAGCCACGGATTCAAGCAGAAAAATTCATTTGCTACCGTCCCAAATGGACGTTGTGTTATGTATCCATGTTTTAGGGTTCACTTTGTGATGGGAGAGGGGGAGACCTGCCTATCTGATTTCCCTGAAGATGTTTTGACTGTTGATCCTTTTTCTTCATCCGATGCCATTGAAGGATATCTTTGGCCCAAAATTTTCGCTAAAAGAACAGAAAATGGGGAATCAGATGCTGAAGCATTGGAACAGATGGAAAGTCAACCTATTCTTTTAACATCGAATGCAAACTCCAGTCAAGGTGAGAGTTCAGGGTTTGTAGACCGCATGTCCACTGATTTGCCAGAGATGCAGGTGATTCTTTCAGTTTGTTGGCCTTAATAAGTGCAATTCATTAGTAGCATTACATTTTTTTCTTGCATTTCTTTATTTATTATGGTATATTTGATAAGTTTTGAGCTTTACTCAATTCTTGCGGTTATGCTTTCCTGCAGGAAGATGAGGCTAACTTGTCACAGTTTGCCTCTGAACAATTGCATTTCAAAGAATCAAATTCTGGTGAAATTATGTCTTTGGATGAAACAGATATGGTATGTATTGGCTGTTTATTATTGGTATACATCTTGTATTTCTCATATGAGCCTGCTTAAATTACATTTTTAAATGTTTGTATCCTGTAGTTTTTTCTTATTGGAAGGGCTACTTCGATTTTAAATAGTACGTTACTCTCACTGACTGCAAATTGCATTATGTTACAGGGCTGTGCTGTGCAGGAACAACAGTGTCATTCAGATGCAACTGCAAAAATGAAAACTCAGTGTCCTGCATCTAGTGACAATGACATTGAAGATTCCTCATCTAGACTATTGCTTTATCTAGAAGGACATGAACTCGACCGAACTTTGACACTATATCAAGTGATTCTTCAACAGCTACTAAATTCAGAGAATGAATTTATTACATGGGCAAACTTATGGAGTCGAGTATACACAATAACTTACAAAATAGCTGTGGAATCTAAGCAGGTTGACCCTCAAGAAAATAAATATCTGGAACTGAAGTCCTCATCAAATAAAATTATTGCTTATCGGCAGAATATGGCATTTTTCTCCAGCATGTTTGCATGCAAACTTGCTACTGGTTTGGATAAGTCAAGTCCTATTTACGATATACTGTTTCTGCTAAAAAGTTTGGCAGGCATCAACAAATGTTCATTTCATCTAATGTCTTGTGAGAGAATACGTGCTTTTGCTGAAGGAAGGATTGATAATTTGATAATTTGAAGGCTATGGTTCATTCGGTACCTCAAAATGAGTTTGTGAGCAGTAGGTTAACTGAAAAGCTAGAACAGCAGATGCGGGATACTTTTACTTTGTCAACTGGTGGTATGCCTTCTTGGTGTAATGAGTTAATTGCTTCATGTCCCTTTTTGTTTAGCTTTGAGGCAAGATGTAAGTACTTTCGATTGGCGGCTTTTGGTCCACGAAGAGTTCAACATCATGCCTTATCACGTAGTAATTCAGGTGCTTCAAATGACAGACAACCTACCGCAGGTGGTCTGCCGCGAAAGAAATTTTTAGTTTGGCGGGATCAAATTCTGGATTGTGCAACCAGAATGATGGACCAACATGCTAGTCACAAAGGACTTCTTGAGGTGGAATATAATGAAGAAGTTGGCACTGGTCTTGGTCCAACTTTGGAATTCTATACTCTTGTTAGTCTTGAATTTCAGAAATCTGGCCTTGGCATGTGGAGAGAGGATCATACGTCGTCTATCACTTCAAACACCTTGCTTGCTGCAGATTCTGGAATTCTGAGAAATGATTTCGGGCTTTTCCCTTGTCCATGGTCACGGACATCAGATTCATATAATGGGATACAGTTCTCTGAAGTATTAAAAAAGTTCGTTCTTTTGGGTCAAATTGTTGCAAAGGCTATTCAAGATGGCAGAGTCTTGGATGTTCCTTTCTCCAAAGCCTTCTATAAATTAATTTTGGGGCAGGTATTCTTCTGATCTTAAATCCTAATCATGATTGAACTTTCCTTTAAGCTTGTAATAAAAAGAAAAAAAAAAATCTTGCAGACTGGCTATTAAGATATGCAACCTTTTGGTTTTGTAGGATCTTAATTTGTATGACATCCAATCATTTGACCCTGAGCTTGGTAGGACACTGCTGGAGTTTCATGCTATTGTAAATCGGAAAAATCACCTGGAATTTGTTTGTGGTGAAAACTCAACATTAAAACTGGATTTGTGCTTCCAGAATACCAGGATTGAGGACCTCTGTTTGGACTTTACCCTTCCAGGTTATCCAGGTTATGTTCTTTCTTCCGAGTATAATCACAAAATGGTAAGTATTTCTCAAGTATGATTACATTCACTACTGAGATCCATTGATTTGATTTAAATTGATTCATGTTATTCTTGTGTTGTTGCCAGGTAAATTTGACTAACTTGGAGGATTATATTGAGCTTGTTGTGGATGCTACCATACATACTGGAATTGCAAGACAAGTTGAAGCTTTTAAGTCTGGATTTAACCAGGTACATCATACACCGCATGTTTCTTAAAAGAATCAAGCAAAATGGTGATGTCTTCAATCCTACTGTGTTCTACTTGACTAAAACTGACCATGTTGTGTTCAACTTGTTCTACCTGATGTGGTGTAAACTTGAAGGAAATAATTTTCAAATGATTTGCATGGCCATTCCTTGTAACTTTAATTCATGAAAGCATTGTGTTACTCCATAGTGCGATCTTTATTTTCTATGAGATATTCTTCCACAAGTTGGTTAGGTTTAACGTGGATGATTCAGCTAACCAGGGGGTAATTTGTTTCTGTCATATATGATCTATTGTTTGTTCATATATGTATTCACAATTCTGAAGTCTCTCTGCTTTGTGAATATATTGTACTTTAAATGTTGCTCCTTTATTCAACACACTCTTCAAAACTGTTATATGGGAGTGTGAGAAGGAAATTACCATTTAGACAAGCTGTTTTATTATGTTAATAATAAATTAGTGTAATTACCAAACTTTTAAGACTGACGTTAACTTGAAATATGGTTATAATGGCTGTTATAGAAATGACAATTACTCTGATGCCTCCAATTAAATAACTGATTTATGCTTCCCTTGCATGATTTGTTTAAGGAAGCAATTTGCTTTCCCAGTGATCCAAATGACTCCTCCCAAGAAAATTTTAGAAACATGATTATAATTCTCCACGCTGGTGCATTGCGGTTGCTCCTCTCTGCTGTATTCTAGACTATATCAAAAAGTTTTTAGTGCTTAGATTTTACGGATATGGTTGATAGTTGATGTGATAGAGGAAAGAGTGAAGAGGTTCAATGATATTGAGGGTCTTCTACGTTAGTATTTGGTTATTGCTAGAAGAATTGTACTTTATCAATCTAATGATTATTGTTCTAACTGTAGGTCTTATCTGTCACTTCAATTTTCCTCCAGAGTCATAATTAGATTTTTTTTTTCAACAAAAAAGAAAAAAAAAATACTTAAGGAAATGGTTTCCTCCTTTGATCTGTCTATTTCTGGCTTTCATTCCAGGTTTTTGCAATTAAGCATCTCCATATTTTTACTGAGGAGGAACTAGAGCGTTTACTCTGTGGAGAATGTGATTTCTGGGCTGTATGTATATCCTCACTTGATTTAATCAGTCTGTTTTGGGAGAGATGGATTACCTTTACTGAGCTTTTATGTTGTTTTCCAAGCAGTTCAATGAACTTCTGGAACATATCAAGTTTGATCACGGATATACAGCTAGCAGTCCACCCATCATTAATGTTAGTATTACTTTCATTTTCTTTCCCTAGCCTACTTCCCTCTTTCTCTTACACTCTCAGCTTTTCTCATCTGTTAATGGTCACTCCTTGGAATTTCAGCTACTGGAAATTATACAAGAGTTTGAATATGCACAACGACGAGCATTTCTGCAGTTTGTGACTGGCGCACCCCGGCTGCCTCCAGGAGGTTTGGCATCTCTAAATCCAAAGTTGACAATTGTTCGCAAGGTCTGTATAATCAACATACCTTAAGTTTCCAGTTTGCAATTCTTTTTATTTCTTTTCGTCTTATCATATGTTCATTTCTTTAAATTTTAATGTTTCCTTCAGCATAGTAGCAATTGTGCTGATGCAGAACTGCCTAGCGTTATGACTTGTGCCAATTACCTGAAGTTGCCGCCTTATTCTTCAAAAGTAATACTACACAAACTTCTAAATATAAACCTATATTAAATTCCTTATAAAGAAAGATAAGTTAAAGAGAAATTAAGGGCTGTAATTTCTTTGCAGGAGAGGATGAAAGAGAAGCTCTTGTACGCCATAAGGGAAGGGCAAGGTTCATTCCACCTTTCTTAGCTTTTTAAAGGTACATAATCTGTGAATTTGTAATTATTAGGTAGGTGCTTGGTGTACATGAAAATGGCTGGTGAGTAGTAATGGGTAGTGGATATTTGATGGTTTAAAGAAGAGCTGATTGTCACTGGCACAAGAGGAAGCTCTAGGAGGATAGCTGACAAATATTTGGTGTGGATTTGTAAATAAGAGTTGAACCCAAAATAGTTGTTTTCGTTCAAGTTGGGAGCTGTACAGGGAGAGATGGACGTTTACAGAGGCTTGGGGCTTCAGATAGGTTGGCTTTTTGTTGCTTTATTAATGCACAAAAATTTGTACATAGACTTTCTTTTTTTAACCATAGAACTAGGTTTATTCAGTCAATGAAAACTGTTTCCCTTCAATTTATATTACGACACATTCACCCTTTTATGGAGTTATCATATGATCATCGTCCACCTCATGCTAATGCAACAGCTTCAGATGGAAGATGATCTTCGGCTTCTCGAACCGACTCTATGATAAGAGAGCTTCTTGATTCCCATCATGATCTGCACATCTGGGCTCATCGGCAATGCTTGCTTTGAAACCTCATCGGCTTTGTAATCATAAGATTTTAAAGGTGAAGCAGCGCCTTCTCATCATCGCCTTACTGCTCATCTGTAAGGAAATGGGTTGGGCCGTAACTCATCCATCATTGCTTCCCTCTAATTACTTCTGGCCCAACATGATTTATTTACTTAAATCAACCACGTTAAATAAACAAACAAATGTGAAATTATGACCTTTTTTCAAGACTTGGCTTTCAGTAAAACATGGATCGATTCTCAATGCTTGTAAATTAGATCCTTTTCCCAATTTTTCTTAGCCTTGAATCGAAAAAGGAAACAAACAATCTGGGCACTTTATTCAATTCTTTAGGGGTGATGTAGGATTGAATTGGTTTGATTTTTTTTTAATAATGTATAATATTATAAATTTTTAAAATTTATTTTGAATTTGAATCGATTTTTTTAAAAATCGATTTGATTCATTTATTAGTTTAGTTAAATATGGTTTATTGATTTTTAAAATTTAATTTTTTATATATTATTTTAATAAAATTTTAATAAATTTTAATAAATTTATATAATAAAATAATTATTTTTATTTTATAAAAATTTAAAAAATATAAAAATTAATAAAAATATATAATTTGATTTGATTTAATTTTTTAAAATTTTTACATTCTGATTTAAAATTGAATTCAAATTTAATATATATATTTAATATTTAAATTTATCCGAATTAAATAAAAAAATAGATTTAAATTGAAGAAAGGATTACAATTTTAAATAATTTTTCAATATTTTTTCTTTTTTCTCTCAAGCGTATCTTTGACGGCAATATTAAAATATCCACAACCTTTGGATGATGGCCAAGAGTGATAAAAGTCCGTGTAATTTTCCCAAAAAAGATAAAAACAAAATGGAAAATCCAAAGTCCAATCACCTGATAACAGCACACATGTACCGGTCCCACAACGTCTCAAGGAATTCGTAGCTACACCTCGGTGTAAGTGCTATATACATCAAACGCTCCCGTTCTTTTTAATTTGCTAATTCTTTTTATTTGCTCTATTTAATTAATTCTTATTTTGGACCGCCTCTTCTCCCAAATTCAAAAAAATCAACTTCTCCTCTCTTTTTCTCTTTTCACTCGTCTCGCCTTCAATTCTCGATCTTTATTCAATTAAATGAAATAATTTCAATTTTAATCGCCTCATTTTTTATTCGATCTGGTTTAGAAATGGGTGATTCTGAGATGCAAAGCGATTTCGATATCAAAGGGCTAAGCCTCATCGACGTTTCGTCCGAAGACGATTGCCTCATCAATTCTCCTATCTGCGATCCTATAAACCCTAAATCCTCAGGTTTCTCACTTCCTCTTGATTTTGCATTTGATATAAGAAAAAAATTGCTAATATTTCTGGTTTTTTCCAAAAATTGGATTTAATTGATTTATATATTCTTCTAATGTAAAGCTGTTTAGGGTTTGTTGATTATTGCCATCTATATTTCGTTGGAAAAGTACTTTTTTTTTATTTGTCTAATAATCCTGTTTCAAAATGATGGTGAAATGTTTTTTGTTCGATTTATTAATGGAATTAATTGGTTTATTACCAATAATTAGCTCCCAAAAAATCACAGGTTTTTTTTAATTTATTTCTAGGTTTTTTTTTTTAATACAAATTGCTTCCAGTAAAGCTTCAAAATTTTCTAATCAATAATGGGTTTCTTTTGCTTTTCTGAAAGCAATTTCTCATTAGCATTAGCTGCTTTTTCACTAACTAAAAATGGATTCCTTTTTGTATTTTTTTCCATTAATATTAGATAATTTAGGGCTTCTTTTTATCTCCTGACAAATTGGATTTTGTGTATTGTACAGAGAAGCGGAGTGAGACCAAAACTGTTAGGTTTGCTATGGATCCCCACAGTGTAGAAATCTCATTAGGCTCCTTTGAAGAATCTGGAAAGTTGGAGGAACCGCCAGATTCTTTTGAACACGACAATACAAGAAAAAATGGGAAATATAATTTACGCAAAAGTTTGGCATGGGATAGTGCTTTCTTTACTAGTGCAGGTACAAATTTGTCGATTTTACTTACGCTTAATTAGCATGTTATGGTTCTAAATTTCCTGTTTTGATATGTTCTGCATTCTGTTTTATAGGCTTTCTCAATCTGGAGGAGTTGTCTAGCATTCTGGGAGGCAATGAGAAAGGTGAAATACAAGCATTGCCTGGGATTCAAGAGGATGTGAACAAATCTTGTGATTCTTTGACAACGTTAGATAGTGAAACTTTGACGTTGGAAGGTATTGAGGCTGATTTATTTGAGGATATAAGAGCTTCTATCCAGAAATCTAACAAAGTGTCGAATGCTGCAAATTCTAGTGGCAAAAAGGAATTGAAGCAGCAGATTCTCGAACATTGTCACGTAAGTATAGTATGTTTCTCTTTGACTGTGCATTGTTTTATGCTGATGCACCTGATGGTTTTGCTTTGATGCCACAAATGCAACTTCAAAGGATTTCCTTTCATCCTTTTGAGGGAAATGAAATCATTAGGTCAACAGAACTTATATTCTACCTATCCCTGGATGGGAAGATATATGATACTTATTCAAATGAGCATAGGTCAAAATGAATATTCATTATTTTACATTAGTTCTTATTCTTGGTCCAGACCAAATTTCTTTTTAATTACCTAATTGCCTAAAATGCCTATTCTAAATTCCTTTGTTCATATGCTTAGGCTTTTTTCTGTCTTCTTTCTAAATAATATTACATAATATTAGGGTTTAATTTAACATGCTAAGCATGTGTGTTCATTGCACAAATATTCTCAAACTGATAGTGCCCTGTTTTCTTTTTTTATTTCCAGCTTCAAAGAAGTTAGAATTTACTACTGAAAATAAGGTACATTCAATAAATGGCTGCCATTGTTCATTACTTGTCCCTTTGTTGTGTTTCTCCATGACATTTTTGTTATTTCAGGTGAAGCAGAAATCTGCTCCAAAGAAGCCAAACATTGGTGTGAAAGACTCTGGGAAAACATTGAAGCAGGTTTCTGTCCGACCACAAACTTCACAGGTTTGTATTCTGATGTATCATGCAAATGAGTAATTGCAAGTTGTATCACTTTTTCTATTTGAGGTAGAGATACTATTAAACAATCTAGAGTGTTGTAAGGAAGTTTTAAACTTCCAAATCTAAATCATTAGGTTAAATGAACTGGCTTGTGTTGTTATAGAGATTCATAGAAAACTATGCTGTAAGTCTGTAAACATTAAATTGTTGCAACTGTTGAATATGCAACCACATAACTGCTATTTACTACCACTGCAAACTCTGATTTTGTTTTTTGTTTCAAACACTGGATTGTACAGTCTGTTGCTAGAAGTGGAGAACCAACTTCATCTCTTCATAAGCCACCAAAGGGACTAAGAAGAGTTGGTCCCATCTCAACATCACCAACCAAAAGGGTTTCCTTGGGTGCTAAGAATGTCAAAATGGAAAAGGATGCAAAAAGTGTGACTGGTAATTCAAACTACTATTTGTTTAGATTAGCTTCATCAAAATAGAAGTTTTCTTGCTCATGTTTTCTGTTTAATTCACTCTCCATTTAATTTAATGGTTGTAGGTAGAGGGACCACAGTATCAAAGACTTCTGCTTTGGGTGGTTCAAAAAATATTGTGCTTAGGCCTATACTATCTTCCAAATCTTCTTCCCACTCCCCAGCCTCTAGCAAAACTGAGCAGACAACTTCTTGTTCCTCGCTTGAAAGTTTGGCCAGTGTTTCATCTGACAGTATTAATAAATCTTCCTTGAATATGATTAAACAAAAAAATGACTACAGATTAGTTAACCCTTCTTCCTCTGGTTACACTATCACCACCACATCCAAAATTGCACCAAAAGGTAAAAGTCAAGCAGGACGTTCAAAGCTCTCAACTTTTTTAAAGTCTTCTACCAAGCTCTCTTCCAGTATATCTCCTACTAGCTCTATTAGTGAGTGGTCCTCAGAATCTTCATCATCTACCTCTGCTACTAATCAAAGGCCTAATATTGTAAGAGCTAGCCTTGGTACTAACTCTCTCAAGGGGCTCACTACAAATTGTGATGCCCACCAAGTTTTGGATTCTCAGAACCATCCTACTGGTCAGTGCTCACTTGGAGATGGTGCTGAGGTTACTGGCTCACTTGATGAAAGTGTAAACAAAGTTTCAGCTGGTATTAGTGGGCTTCTTCATTCAGCTTCGATGAAACCCTCCGGCCTTCGAATGCCATCACCAAAAATTGGCTTTTTTGATGGGGTTAGTTCTTATTTCTTAAAAATGGCTCTGTACCAGATGGGAAGTGTTATTGGCTAAAACCGTTTTCAAGAATAAGCAGACAGAAATTTCCATGCCACAATCTTCTGCAGAAAAGAGGATACAACTTGTCTAAGCCTATTCTTTTATGAAATCTAAAGGAACAGAACCACCCTCTTTGTATTCATTTTAGCTCTAGTTTGCTTTGTTTGTCAAGTAGTATAACTTGTGTGAAATTGTGATGAATGCAGGTAAGATCATCTGGATGCACTCCAAATGGGAGTATGCTCTCTCATCCCGGTGTACCTAGTGGCTTGCCTAAAATTGGAGCAAAAAAGACTAGTCCAAGTGGTAGCTCAAACAAGGTGAAGATTGGAAAGCTTCAACCTGTTACAACTCTTACTGCAATCCAGAGCCCCAAGGTTGATGTTAAGCAAACTTCCTCCACTGTAAAATCTAGATCTTCCTTATCTATTCAAAGATCTCCAAATGCTGCAACAAAGGTATTAAGTGCTTCAAGAAACCCCAAAAGCAACCCTGGCATAGCTGCAAAACTTCAGAATAAATCCTCTCCTAGAACTGGTAGAGAAAGTTACTCAAAGGCTCAGGGCATTCGTTCTGCAGAAAAAATTGTAGGCCCAGTTTTTCCGAAGCAAGTAGTGGGCCTGGGAGGCGAAGGTGCTGCTCACATAAAGGATACCAAGATCGTTCCTCTTGATGGAGTACCTGAAACTACTGATGATTTAGCTCCCAAGTCTAATGATCAAAACATGATCGGGTCAAAAGAAACTGCTGAAAATGAGACATACAGTCACCCATACCTGAAGACTGATACACTTCTCCGTTATAACACCAACAAGAACGAAGAAGCTCCTGTTGTAGACCAAGTTGCTGGTTTAGTCAGAAACGGTGACACTGTGGAAGTGGATATAAATTCAGACACTCGGAAAGAACCCATTGTTGATTCTCATCTTGCTTATGAGCACAAGGAGTTTGAGAACAGTTTGTCAAATCCCGCTGCTACCTTTCCTTCTGCAGTGACTTCCGGCTCAAGGATACCTTTCTCAGTCATGGATTCCTTTTACAATAGTGATGCACCACTTGAGGTTTTATCCGGATCAGCAGTGGCGGTAGACAAGCCAACCAGATTGCCGATTCCAGAGTGCATCTTACCAAAGAACGGCTAAGACAAGTTCAAAAAGTCTAGTTTCAGATTTTTTTGGGTACCTTGGTATGGCCTCTCCCAACTTTTCTCACTGGGCATGGAACTTGTCTCATAGATTTTCAGGGCTGAACGTGAAGTCGTAGATTGGATTTGCCTTGGTTCATGATACAATTTGTGTCCAAACATGTTTGTTTATGCGATGAAAGCAAGCATTACAAGAAAAACTTTTGGTCCCATGAATATAGATTTTGTGCACCCATCATGAAAATGTACCACAAACAAAATTTATACCCGGTTTTCATACTTGAACATAGCTTTTGTGCGAAACAAATTATGCATGCAAATCTCAGCCGCCCAGTTCCCCAAAGCTGCATTTGATAGATAATCCGTTTCATCCAATAGCTAGCTTATATTTTAAGGAGTTGTTGCCTAATGAATCATAGGATCATGGCAGAATTTTAGTTCCTCCATAATTTCTTGCTCAGTGCGAGTTCCTGGCGTGTTCCAGGTTCCTATTCAATTGGAAGACTAAAATACAAAAAGGATAACCGGACAAATTGACACATTGAAAGTCTGGGTATTAACAGATTCTTTAGTATGTTATGTCTAGAAAAACATAACCAGTTCTAAATAGTAAATACTTGAAATCATAGACTATGGAAGAGAGAACAGTTTGGAACGGCAACAAAGAAACAAAGAGAGAACAGTTTTGATCAGGATGACACCACAAATTCAATGCAACAACCCGAAGATAACCAAATGTTGTCCAAAAAAGCTACCAAGCAAAAAAATGCTCAGTTTTAAGTAGAAGTATAAAAAGGCCATAAGAGACATCCTTCCCCTGGCAAACTTATGATCTAGGCTTCTCCTTCTTCTCTTTGAAGAGTGCTAAGAGTGACACACCAGAAACCTTCACGACCTTGAATCTAACACCAGGAATATCACCGACGGCATGACCCTTTCGTCCAAATCCAGCAATCAACACCTCATCCTGCAGCAATATGTTATCATCACAAGAGATGCAGCGAGATACTTAATATGCTTTAAACAATTAAAGTTATATGATATCATTTGAGAGCTACTCACATTCTCTTCAATGTAGTTTAAGCAACCATCATTTGGAACGAATGCAGCAATCTTCTTTCCATTCTTGATCAATTGAACTCTAGCACACTTTCTGATAGCAGAGTTTGGTTGCTTAGCCTCAATGCCTCTGGCATGTTTCAAAGCCATCAGTACACTTATTGAATTAGAGTTTAATGAAAATAGGAGCACCAAGTAAAGAGGATCTAGTCTTACATCTTCTCAAGGACAATGCCTTTGGCATGGGAAGAACCAGCAAATGGCTTCTTCCATTCATTTCCAAGGTTGGATTTCTTGTATGCCTTATCAGCCCACCTCTGCCTCCTTCGGTGGGTCCTCAGCTTGCGTCCAGCTCCCATTCCACGTGTCTTCCTGAAAGAAATACCCTTAATGTCATAAATTAACTCCTCAAAGATAAAATTCTACACCTGAAACTATAATCTTTTCATAGTCTAATAAAGGTTCGAAAATGGAGACAATATCACTTGAGGTGAAAGCAAAATACTATATAATTTCCAACAAGCCTCTTGTATGTGTACTTTTCTTCTGAAATTAGCCTAAATCTTGAGCTAATATCACTTCTCAGACAAGAAATCATAAATCCAAATCTATATTTCATTTCAGCACTTAAAACTTTGAGCTTCAATCAAATGAGGGAGCAATACACTCAAAGCAATAAAAATTTCTCTTTTTTCCTTCCTATTACCTATCACCCTAAACAAAGAACAGAATTAACAAAAGACTTAAAGATCCAAAACCCACATTTAAAAACCAACACTTCTCACAAAAAACCATTCCTTTCATTGAATAAGCAAGAGCAGCTTAAACACTAAAAAAAAAGGAACATAAGACAAGCTAAGAAATAGAGAAAAGTTATCAATTTGAGCTAGAATTAAGAGCAAGAAACACACCCCATGTTGTCTGAGAGAGGCTGTTTCAACTTAAAGGAAGGTTCTGAGAGATCTGGAGGAAGCAGCAGCCGCCGAGCTTAAATCCTGAAAGCTGTTAACCCTAGCGATGATGGTGCATATATATATATATATATATAGCTATTTAGAGAGAGAGAACATTATAACTTCATACATGACTGGGCTGAGGTTTGGACCCAATAAAAAGTATTAAACAGTAATAGTAAAGTGTTTTGGACCCATTGTCTAGCAGCTAAATATGGGCCAAATCCCATTAATACAGCAAACAGTTCTATAGATTCGAGAATAGATAAAAATTATCATGAAATCTTGATGTCATATATAAAAATTACCCCGAAATCTTGAAGTAGCATCACATGAGACCACGAGTTTTGACTATAATGTATGGCCACTTGGTAAAAAAAAATCAACCAAGATGATGTTATTGTATTTTCCTTTATTATGAGTAATAATTTGTGATTGTAAATAATGCCTATCTGTTTTTGAATTACCTGTTCACATTCATAAACTTGTTATTGTTTCAAATGCAAATTGTTGTTCGATTGATCCAAATTCACCAGATATATTAGGTGAAGCAGAATTTTACAAATCGCCCATGTTTTGGCATGTACAATGGTTTTGTTAATGGCGGTTTAGCCTTTTAACAGTTTTCCATAACTCTGAAACTCAGTTGGAAAAAACCCTGACCAGACATGTTAAGACCAAAATTAAGAGAACTTTCCATAAACTGAAAATATCCAAACCATCAAGTATTTATAGCACGAATATATGTAAGCTGCCATGCATTTGATCTACTTCTGGCCTTTCTTCCATAACACACCTATCTTTTTCAACATGTTGCTATTTTTCTTCTTGGGTGAATCATCATCCATGTCTTCCAAGTTGGGTGAACCCATTGTGCGGTTATAGTTGCGGTCAAGAGATATGGACCTGTCTGCATGTTTCCCATTGTTCCCAGTAGAAAGCATGGAAGCAGCTGCCTCAGCTGCCTTTCTCCACTGATCTGACTGCACCTTTAGTCTCCTTAATTCAGTCTCCTTTTCGGTACTTGCTGCTTGTGCTGCATCAAGCTGTTCAGTCAAGCATGCTGCTCTTCTGCTACTCTTATCTGCTTCCTCAGTGAAATAGTCAAGCTTCATCAGAGCCTCTCGCTCTGCAGCCCTTGCTGCTTCTAACAATGCAACAGATTCATCACTAACTTTATTATTCTCCATTTCCTTCTTCTTAATTTCCATTTTGAACATTTCATTTTGCTCATTTACACTCTGCAACTCTGTTTCCTTTGCTGTCAAACTTGCTTTCAGTTCTGTCAAATCTGCCTCTAACTTCTTCAACTCCACTGCAAGTTCAGATTCTCTTTCATTAGAGTGGTTTTTCTCAATCTTCAAATTCAGCCCTTTATTTTCCTCTGAAATACTCTGCAGTTTAGTCTCCTTATCCATTAAGTTTGCTCTCAGTTCTTCAACATCAGCTGTAGTTCTCTTTACTTCTGCCTCCAGTTCCACCTCTCTTTGGTATGACTGCATTCTTATGCATTCCACTTGTTCATAAGCACTTCTAATTTGCAATGTGCTCTGAATATATTCTTCTTGGTACCTGATCTCAGCTGCATCCAATGCTGATCTCAATTGACCCACTTCAAGTTTTGCAAAATTCAGCTCCGTTTTGAGCTGCTGTATTTCCTCATTTTCTCCATTCTCCTGTGGTAGTTTATCATCTTCGGGATCCTTAAATCTTTTGCTGCTATTACCAGCCGGTTCTGCCTGGAGCTTGCTCACAAGTCCCTCCAGTGACATAAATCTAGCTTTTGACTGCTCCAACTCCAATGAAAATATGCTGTAAGCTTCTGTTCCTTTGGTTGCATCAGAACGGAGTATTTCTATGGTGTTATTTGCTGCTTCCAGTTGCATTTGGGTTTTGCTAACAACTTCAAGAGCCTGAGATTCAGATTCTCTGCAATCAGTGAGCTCAGACTTTAGTTTTTCAACCAAAGAGAGAGTTTCAGTCAGTTCAATTCTCAAGTTTTGAATCTCAGTAAGTGCAGATTCAGTATCCTTAGTTTGAATAGCTTCAGATTCATATGCCTTTTCCAGCTGAACTTTAAGCTTTTGAATTTCATTCATAGCAGAAGCCAAGGCGGCAGAATCCATTGAGTGCTGCTTCTGGACTGCCTCAAGTTCAGACTGCCATGCTCTATCTCGATCTTGTGAAATTTTACGGAGTTCTTGAACACGTTCATCCTCAGAGGCAGAAATTTCCAGCAACTGCTGTTCAGATTCTTCAAGCTCGACTGACATTGCTGATAGCTGCTTCTTGGCCTCCTCAGCCTCTTGCATGGCTTGCCTTTTCCATGAGTCAGATGCAGTCAGTTGGTCCCTTGTCTTTTTTAGATCATCTTGAAGTTGAGTGAGCTGTGCTTCCAGTTCAGTCACTCGGCTTGGCCGCTTCTTCTAGAGCTCTCATGACAAAAGTGGACATTATGTAAGTGGGAGAAACTAAGTAGATAAGTAAACAGAAAAATATCCTGTAATAATGGAACGAAACAGTGTGCTGAATATCTTCATTACTGTTGCATCATCTGGACTTAACCTTTACGCTCAGTATTCACCATAAAAATAGCCTAATTCAGGTGTAAGTGACAGAAAAATACCTCAGATACTGGGCTTCTCAATGCTTTACGCTCAGTAACCTTAGGACTTCTGTCTTTGGGTGTTTTACTTGCAGGATTTGGAGAGGAAACTGTGTCTGAGTCAGATCCTGGTATCTTCAGTTGATGAGCAGTTCGAGGTGTTGCAGGAGATTTTCTCTGAGGCACTTCTAAGGAGCTTGTTCTACAGTAAAATTCAATGGAATGGAAACCGATGAAGCTCCTAGTTGATGACTCTAATACCTATGACTAAACAAAATGGTAAATCATATATAATAGGTTCTTTCAAGAGTATGTAACTACATTTACAACTTGTCCATAGGTTAAATCATAATGCACTTGGTGGATCAACCCTTGATAGACTAGCAATAACTTCAAGATTAAGCAGCCACCAACCACAAGGAAACTGATGTGGTAGCATTTTTTCAAACACAGGTAAAACAACTCTGAACTACCTTCTTTAGGATCATTCTAAGCTCCCTCCAACTTTCCAGAATATTCGTTTCTTGACCGGGGATAAAAAAAGGTTTAACAAGATACTGAGACAACAATAGCTCAGCTTCTGGTTGAGAATGATGTGCATAGAAATGCACCACAATATATAAATAAACTCATCCGGATCCCTATTGGCTATTGGCATGCATTTTTAATGCAGTTCACATGAAAATTTTCACGCATTTTTTGACACACAGTCTTATACAAGACAACATATAAATGTTTAACATCTAACAAAAGTAGGAGACAATCATTGATAATCAACATTAACTCATCAAGTCTATTCCCCCGAACTTTACCAAGTCCAACCCACCGACTATGCCAAAACACTTGAAACTATGAATGATTAAGTACACTTTTGAATTTCTTCCTTCCAAGGAAAAATTAAGAAGAAAAATAGAGAGGGGATGGGAGAGCGGTGGTGGGGGGGGGGGCGGCATGAAACAAGCCTGATGAAAGCTTCAAGGACATGAGTACAATAGTAAACAGTCTACTTTGGAGATTAGCAAAGCTTCAACATTAGAAAAACATAATTAGCAGAAACATTAAGGGGGATAGAATGATTAAAATGCCATAAAAGACATCAACTCATGACTGTCTTACCTTCCTTTTGGCATCTGCATGATTTTTATATTCCCTTGAGTTGAAGTGGTAAAAGGGCAAGCTATATGTCCTCTGTTTCAAACCCCACCTGACCCACACCACCTGCAAATAGTTCAGAGAGATCGTGGGCCGAAAAGCAACATGAGAGAGAATATGAAACATAAATGTAGAGAGGGAGCTAGCAAATAGTTCATGAAAGGAGCTTAATCTCTTGGCCGTATGCACAAGACCTAAGAAACAAACAAACGATACAATCCCTTCAAAGAAACTCCGCAGAAACTACTTCCACTACCACCGATCAGAACCAAATGACAAAAATTAAAAAGAAAGAAAAGGAAAGAAAAAAAAGAGTTGCCATCAAAGGATTTCATTAAATATCATTAAAAATACCATCTTTTTTCACTCCTTTACCGATTACTATGCTACGAAACACATTATTGAAACCAATGAACAAAAACACATACAAACACACACATTACTGAAACCACAAGGGACCAGAAAGAAATGAATGAAGTTAATAACCCATGTAGGGCTGCCTTTGCTTGCCTGCTTGATTTGAAATTATGATTCAAAATTGTTGATAGGCAACATTCTTGAACCAAAAACTGAATCATTCTGTTCTTAATGAAATTATGTGCCAGTGCGCATGCAATAGTGTACTCAATCCAATCAAAGAATGCTACTTTTCCTATATTTCCATTTTCTACTGCAAATTTAAGACTAAAAAGCTCTATAACTCCATGAAAAATCTCTTATTTTTTCTTCAAACTTTGCTTGTTTAACTTAGAAACTAAAACATGGAAGACAGACTTAACTGAACAATGCAAAATGTAGGAGTATATAGAGTGAAAAGAACTTGAAGAAAACTTGATTTCAAGGAATGATCACAGTGAAGTTAAAAAATATATATGAAAACCAGGCAGAAAAGATCTATCTTTTTAGAGAAAGCTAAAAACTGGCTAGGCATTGTTCAATCTTCAGTCACCTAAGCTTAGGTCGATGAAAGCTGTTGAAATCAAAGTTCTAAATGAAAAGTAAGCTTAAAACACAGTTGAAAACCAAGTTAAGTTCTAAGTACTGTGCAGCTAAAAATTAGAGAAAGAAAGGATGGAAACTTGACTCTTCTTTTTTTTGGTTAAAGGAAAAAGGAAATGAGAGATAGCTCTAAAGAAGCATTGCAGTCAAAAAGTGAAGCCTCATTTTCTTTTCCGAGAAGAAAATCAACAGAGAAAATGGGATTTTCTTGGAAAAAAGAAACACAAAACGAGACATCATTACTAACATCAAGAGAGCAAAACCCAGAAAGAAATTGATGACTCTTGACTCACTCTTAAACACATTAAAAAAAATCTCAAACTTCATTTCAATTTTTTTTAAAAGAAAACTAAAAGAGCATCAAAACAAACTAAGAAAAATAAACACAACAAGAAAACTACATTGCTGAAAAATGAAATGTAACCTGAAACACAGATGCCTAACAGATAGGAGAAAGAAACAACAGAGTTGGGTTTTAGCCGAAGGAGGGTTGATATTTTTATAGGTTAAAAAGAAGAAAGGCTTGGAAACAAAGAACCATAGCAACCCAAGCTTGGAAAAACAAAACGGGGTTAAGTTGGAGCTTCTGTTTGAGCTGAGGTTCCGCTGCTACAGCTTATGTCTCAATGCTCACTTCCCAAAGGCCAAGTGTTCCTCTTTCTTTCATTCAGTGTTTTGTTAAATGTCAGTGGAGGAGAGAGTCAGCAGAGGGCCCTAGCTTATTGGGACGTTTTCCTATACAGGAGATTGTGATTGATTAAAGTAGCACGCTCCTTTCCAACGCGCTCTCTCACGCTCCTCACTCGTGTTGCTGAGGCTCCCTCTCTCTCGCAAGGTTAAAGTTTTGTCCATGTCTGCACTGCATCTGCCTTCTTCTGCCCCTACCTCTTCAACTTTGCCTTCTGTTTTGTTAAATCATTCTTTATAATAATTTGATTACCTTTGCATTAGTTTTCTTCTTTCTGTTCTTTAGTCATTCTTTCATCTTTTTGGAGAGGCGCTTGGTTCAGTCTTTGAAATAAATTTGTCAAGGAAGTGAGTCATTTCATGCAAAGGGAAGCAGCTAAACAGCATTATTGCAAGTTTACCGTGTGATTTATTAAACCAAAACTTTCCTTTCAGTCACATCATATGTAGCTCTTACAGTAACAAATGGGCATTTTCTTTTCTTATATCTTTTACATGTCTGTCTTTTGTAAGATTCTGGATCATATATATATATATATATATATATATTTAACTCACTTCCTCCTCTCTTGGAAAATCCCAGAATTTCCTTTGGGACTTTCCTTTGCATTGACAGTGATGAGACACCCTAATGAGCCAATGCAACTGCCATATATATAAGTGTGGGTCTTGTTCATGCTTTCATCCATACATTCACATGTGCAAAGCCTTTTATTGAATTGACTGTATTTGGAATTTTTAGCTGTTTTGATAACAATCACTAATCACAATTTCTTGCTTGGATGTGAATTTTTACATAATGGTGGCAGAATATCCACAATTATAGTAAAACTTTTCAATGAGTCTATGACATTTGAAAACACATGCTTTCTCTGTCCGCAACACTGAAAGTCATTAAAATGTCAGCTTAACTTCCCATAGAAGTTAAGTTGTGGCCTTGGGCCCTTCAAGTTCATCTCCCTTTTTTTTCTCCTATTTTGTTAGTGCCAATATCATTGTGGTGTTTTTTCAATTCATTGTATCGCCAATCTACTTCTTCAAATGTATGGTTGATATTTTCAGAGGGAAAAGCTGTTACAGAAGGCAACTTCTCAACAATCCTACCGTACATAATAATCAATAGTGTTTACAAGGAATGAATAGGGTCTAGGGCAAAAAAGGAATAGCAAAATCCTACCTCCCAGAGTCCATCTTCCAGGCAAATAAATGCTCATTTTCTCACCGCAAAATGGGTTTAAAGAGTAAAGACTATAATAAAAGGTGAGAAACCGGGCGATTTGATTAAAATTCTCGGAAAAAGTGCAAAAAAAAAAAAGGCCATGTGATAGCATTCTACTATAGTTTCTGGTTATAAAGGAATGCTAGAATACTGGCCAGATTGTTACAGATGGTTGTTTTTTAACACTTGATGTAGTTAAGATTTGAATTTAATCACTAAAATTAGAATTCAATGTTCTATAAACAGATCACGTGATTGATGGTTTTTTTTTTGGTTACAACATATTTGTGTTTTTATCCCAAAACCAAGTGTATACTAACTATAAATGGCCTCAACCTGATAATTCTAGAGTTTTAAAGATAATGATTTCATAAGTTAGAAGCTAAACGAGGATAGGAAACGAGGAATAATAGGTCAAACCTCAATGAGAAAACATTAATCAAACATGCCCAATAATGCCCCATAATAATCAGAACAGCAAATAAGACTATGATAGTATGATTCTTCAGAAGGCACATCACTATCACAGACAGAAGATAGAATCCAAAAGAGTCTGAAGTTAAAGCAAACCTGATCTGACTCCAAAGAGATTCCCATTTCCTGGCAGATAATCCAGGGGCGTATCAATACAAAACTATCCCACCGGCAAAATTTCAAAACATTTTGAACATTCAAATGTGCATGTGTTATAGGTTAAATGATTCATTCAATATTGTGAAAGCAACGTTGTCCCTCTCTTTAATTTGTTGTATAGTGTGATGACTATCCACAGTTTGAAAATTTTTAAATTGAACCGTTCATTGATATGACTGAAGATTGATATATACATATCATAAAAGAGATAGGACAAACTTGCTGAATGCTACGGGATAATTGCATGAATCTATTGAATTATATTTCGGGTTCTTTAGTTAATTATCCTTAGTTTTAATTGAGAGAAGCCATTATGCAGCTGGTTGAAGACCTTTCCAATGGAGTAGGGCAAGTAAACACTTTAGAGGGTCTTGTCACTTGGGAGAGTTTGTATTTTGATAGAGTTAAGGTTCAAACACTTTTGCAGTTCTGACTTTGGAGATATCAGTTATGGTAAAACTATAACTGCCAAGCGAATTTTAAGCGATTTTATCTCTTATGGAATTTGACATAAGTTTGCATTCTGCATTGAATGCATTAAAAGTTTAGGCGAATTTTTTGGGTGCAGAAAAAAAAGAAAAAAGAAAAAAGCTTTGATGCTTGCCTTTGAGTAGACTAAGCAAAAAAATGGCGTTATTAGAAGGGAAAAAGGAAACGGTTGAAAGATGCCTGATGGCAATTTCTTTGGCTGCTCTGGTGTGCCATCCCAATGCTACAATTAAGTGTTTTAGACCCAAATCAAAGACTTCTTCATCAAAGAAACAACCATCAAAAACTGCCAACAAAAATGATTGTCGAGCCAAATCTTCTCTTTCCAGAAATTCAGTTTCTTTCAACATGAACATAACATCCCCTCCTAATCTTGCCAATTCATGAAGTGGCAGAGATTCCTATCTCGTCTCAAACCTTGTCGAACAAGAGCCAGCATTTGGTGTTGTGGAAACATATTCAGGTCAGGGTGGGACAATCAAATAGGCCTCAAAATTGAGAAAATATTGAAGATCAATCATGATGTAGATGTTCTTAACAAGTTTGAAGAAAATAGGGAGACAGTGAAATCAATATCTACAAACATTTCTGCTGGTGAGACTGAGAGGATTGAGAGATTGGCTGTCGATGGCAATGAACTCCTAAGGTTCCATGGTGCCATTGTCACTTGTTCTTTAGGAAATGATGAGTTCTCAAGCATTTGCCATAGGGAATGTCGTGGAATTTGCAAAATGGTCGGATCTAGCTTATCGGCAGGTGATGAATCTGTCGCATTAAGCAACAACGGCCGACAAGCACATAGAAAAGTTGTGACTGAATGTGTTGTGAGTAAGATTTGTGCTAGGAATGCCATTGTAGTTTGCAGAGTAATTGCAGGAAGAGTTGCTCGATGTCGTGGACAAGGACTCGTGGATGGACGAGAGGGTGGCTTTGATTCTGTGGTAAGTTTGTCCAAGTATCAATCGGAATGCTCGGAAGAACTCACTGTTTTGAATGCGAGAGCTGTGCTTCCATGCTTTGTTATTGTATACAATATCAAAGACTCAAAGGTCACAAATGTAGCAAGCCTTAATGCACTCAGTTTTTCGCTTTAAACAACCCGATTTTGTTTTTTTTTCCTATTCAATGAAATAGTTAGGTAATCAATTGATAAAATATTATACTTTCAGTTTCAGTGATAAGAATTTAAATCCTGGTAGCCTTAAATATTAAAAGAAAATAAATTTCATCAATTTCTTGTAACTGTAAGTCGCCTGTATTTACGCATGCTCGTGTCCATTTCCATGGTAGCAATGTTACTTCAGGTAGAACGATGAGTAAACCAATTTAAAGTTGCAGAATCATCTCACCGATAGGAATGTTGGAACTCGGACGATGGATCAGATTCAGCCATGACAATTGGTGTTGGAGATGGGCTGTCAGCATTTTGTCCGGGAAGGTACTTGAAAGTTGAAATCGTTACCCAAGAGAAAACAAAGAAAAGCAAATTAATGGAAAAGGAAGCTGCCGTCTGAACAAGTCCCTCTTTCTTTTTTCCCTTTTAACTCAAAACCCTTCTATTCATGCATACTGACGCATAACACATGACACATGACACATGACACATGACATTAGACTAAAACAGAAGAGAAAAGGAAAGGGGACCCCTTCGTTGAATTATGAGATGAATGAAAGCTTGTTGCAGTCAGTCCCAAAAATTGATTATCCTACTGAAAAATTAGAGAAAGGATCCAGTACTACTGTTCTACTTTTAAGTTGCCAGAAAATTACTTATAGCACCTAGTTTTCAGTTTTCCTAGTATCAAAGGTGCTAAATCCAGAAACAATATGTAGTATGAAAATTTAGCACGTAAGGAACAATACAAAAATTTCCCCCTTTTTTCTGTACAGACTTTGTCCACAACCGTAGGCTCTAACCACATTGATAGAGCATGTCTGTAAGAAGCAGCCATTCTCTTCTTTTGATAAATTCTCTTTCAGATAAAAATGCTACAAAATTTCTGTGGCCTACTCCTATCCAACTTGAATGGGATGTTTAAGATAAACATCACAAACCTAAGTTTCTTGAAGTGAGTTTGTCCCCTTGTAATGTAATTTTCTGGCAATTAACTTGGAATATGAAGACAGATACCTTTTTTGGCACAACTGCAAAGCGCAAAACTGAATGATTAATCACCCTTATTTTCCTTGTAAACTATATGGACGAGTATAGAGAAAGAAATGGAAAATCATAAATCGACTGAACAAAAATTAATATATCAATTTCATAAGATGGAGTCAACCTTAGAAAGTTCCTAAAAGCATTCAAGTCTTAACCATAAATACCTTCTACAGCATCCAGTTCTCAAGGAACAGAGAGTTTGAACCCTGGCATGGATGTGATCTCGGTAAATTACAAAAAACACACTAAAGATTGATACTCCTGTCTCTTTAAGTCTTTTTTTGGTATGCGACAAAGAAACTAGAACTTCACAGGTGAACCCTTCAGCAAAAATTTTAACACATTTTGAGAAAGAATAATCTACTTCTATACATAGTAACCATGTCAAAAAGCACATGCTCTGAATGACAACCACTAATGAAGTAAAGGTATCCTCCCTCCCCCTATCTCTCTCTCTCTCTCTCTCTAGATATATATATATATATATATATGAAGAAAAGGCAACATGTGAGAAACACATGTACTTTTCCAAGGACATTTATTTTCTAAGCTGTAGAGCTTCATAGTTTGTGTTTCTTAACAGAAAGAAATACTACCATAAAGGCATACAAAATATATATATGAATATATGCATGTGAGTGCAGGTAGAACAAAACAATCAATAATCAACAAAAAGAAGATATAATTAGCAACATCAGAAATAGTACAGTTTTTAAAATGGTGACTGAATCACCTTAGATTTTATCATCTTGGGTAACTAAACCAAATGTTTCTGCAGTCTCACGGATCATAATACCACTCACTCCAGTGAAGTAGTTATCATGCACTCGGCCACTGTCAGAAAATAAAGAGGAAGATTACAATAAATGCTGAATAAAAAATGAAATTAAACAAAATTGAAGACAATTTTCATATTGTTTGCAGGTAGATGTGCTCATGGTCTAAACCCAAATAGAATATAAATAGCTTTTTTTCTTACCCATTTTAGAGCAAAGCTTTCAACAAATAAAAGGGAATAAAAAAATCTAAAACATCTACCTTGAAGGCTCAAAAAAGACAAGGATTAGATGAATTCGCCTTTTGCATTGATTTTCGGACAAGTTGTGATCAAAAAATTGATAAAGGGATACTTATAGAGGAACTTGTTGTAAGCTCCTGTGGGATTTCTTAAAAGAAATTCGTTTTGGTATTCTCCACAATCATTCTACTTCAGTGAGAAAAGTTCTATAACTTCTTTCATAACAATACGAAACATGTAGGTTCCTCAAAAGAGATCTGATTATCCATTCAAATACCCAACTATTCCTGTCAAATAGCCATATATCTTGGTACAGTTTATGTAATTGTAAGTTGCTTCAAGTGGGTAAAGCCTAAATGAATTTGTATCCTCACAAACAAATAAAGCCGCACTAATAATGTGAAGTATTGCTCTGGAAATAAGTATAGTCTAACCTAGAATAAGAGCTCTATGCAGATCTGCACCAAGAAGACATTGAGCAACCTGATTTTTTCTGCAATTGAGTGTGGAATGGTTATAGCATTGGAAAAAGAAACATTTAATAAGCATAGATAAAAAAAGAAAAAGACAAAACTACACTCCACCTCCACACGACTGAAGAACCAGCATAAATAAATTTAGATTATATCTCACCCAGTAATTTTAAGAAGTTGATTCATGTAGGCTTTCCACATTTCATGCATTGGTTTAAATGTATCAAACCTGTAGATCAAAGACGGACCAAAATATTTTAAAATAAATGGAAGAATTGATCAACATCTCTACACCACATCCCTCCAAAAAATGAATAAAGGAGACAGAACGTATACCATTCACAAAGAACTGCTAACTAAAATTCGTTCGTTGCAATCTCATATTTTTCACATTTTACCATTTAACAAGAGATCTGCTGTTTATTCCTATTCTTCTCTAAATTCTGGAACAAAATACAAACCATTCATTGGTGACCACTATCACTAATAATCTATCTACAAATACACATGCACAAACAGTTCTAATATTCTCACTCTTTCTAGAAAATGACTAGTTAAAGACTTAAAGTCTAAAAACATTAAGTCAACTAAAAGGATGTGAAAATGGAAAGCCACATCCTGAGTTCCAAAATTACACCTCATAGCAAAGAAGAATGCAACACAAAGGCATATAATGGCCCTACAACATCAAAAAAGGGAACAAGCATCAGCCATATACTTGATAGAAAACAGAATGCTCACTTTTGCATAGCTTGAGGCAACTTAAAAACTCCAGATTTCTTAAGCTGCTTCATGGACATGTGGCTTTTAGAGCGCTTAGAGTGCTTCTTCAAAGCCTTGATGTGAGAGCCAGTAGACATAACTCGCCCGTGTACGTAATTATCAAGAAGGATCCAATTGTCAATTTTGATACTTCTAGATCCTTGCATATATTTATGAGCATAATCCCCACTTTGAAGAAGTTCATGCAATATCTTATCAGCCATGCTTCCTTTTTTGTTGGAAAACTACAACAAAAGATGTTAAGAATACATCACTTATATGAAGTCTTAATTGCAATCACTCAAACAGCAAAAAGTTACCTTGGAATTAGCCGGAAGCAAATTGTCATGTATAGGTTCCGAGAGTTGGGAATAAGCCTGATCGATTTCTTCAACATCTATATATAAAATTGAAATTCATATCATATCAAAACCAAAAAATTTAACATAATGAAATGTCCACAATCAATAATATTAATAACTATCCTGGTAAGTGGAGGGACCCAAGAAGGAGAAAGTTCCTAAATGTAAGCCATAATGGAAACACAAATTAGTCAAATAAAAGTGCAAAGAGAAGAGCCCGGAAAGATAAGTAAAAACTTTGAGGACCTCTCTTTGATGAGGAATTGGAGGAGAGAACAATGGATGCGTAGGTCAGGGAAGAATTAATGCTAAAAGTTTCTTTTCCACGTTCCACAGCGGATGTCTTCTTGTTCTTCTTCTGTTGTTGAAGAAGCTCAGCTTTCGCGACGGCAAACCTTCGCTCTAATGCTTCTAGAGCGCGCTTTCTTTTATCTTGAGGACCTGGGGTAGTCGCCATTGGAACTAAACTGGTCTAACCCAATTTGGAAGTAGTAACTGAATTAGTGATAAATCCATTACAAATCAACTAAACTTGTCTAACTAATGGTCCAAAAACTACTTCCAAGAAAAATCGGTTGTGGGGCAATTAATCGAACATCTAATCTACATTTTATTAGAGGAACATTCACTGTAGCTTAAAAAGAACCTGACAGCGACTTTCAACGAATTGTTTGGACAATACTGAAAGGCAAACTATTGCTGGGTGAGGAAACTTGACTTGACTTGACTTAGCATCTGTTATCCCATCAAATGGGCTTAAAGTTTGATAAATGAAGAGAAGGCCTCCCCGTCTTAGGAGCTTAATATTGGGCTGATCTGTTCATGAGGAGGTTTGTTTGAAAACTGAGATTGAGTTTCGATTGATGACTTAAAAAAGATTATAAAATTTTAACTCATTAAAATCTTGTACCGGCATGTTTCGATAATTCTATAGGAACAGGGCTTCCTGTGTTAGCAGGTGCATGTGTCACGACCTGCGTACAAATTCTAACCTAAATGGGTCGTGTGACGTTGTTTGTTTGAGTTGATACTAACAAAGAATCAGAAAGGATCGAGATTAAGGTCTTAAAAATATATACGAGACTCAACTGTGTGGGTTAGAACCAAGGTCAAGGGGTGGGAGTAAACTCGTGGTAAGCAACTTGGTGTTGAATATGAAAGTCAGTGGAAGGATCTAGAATGTCTCAGAAATATGGTGCTGGCAGACAAACACAGAAAACTCTAGAATAGCCTAGAGATAGGTTAAATGCACAGGTACAAAAGGTTTCAGAAAGATCAGGTGCAGGCTCTATAGTTCCCATAGTTCCCAAAAGAGAAAGATTTTGAAAGGTCCTAGCTGACGGCAAAGTAACGCCAAGGCACAGAAGGATTGGGGAGCCTCTAGGTGCGAGCACTCAGTAAGAGTGCCTGAACCCTTCAGATTCAATGCTCATAAAAACTCTAGAAGCTGTAGGGTTCTAGAAAGGGCCTAACTAACTTAGCTTGAATCTAAGGATCTGGAACAGTCTAAAAAATATGTGATGCCCACCACACTTAAAACAATAAAGACGACCTATGTTAAGGAGGTTTAATTATAAATAAAGGAACCCTCTCCTCATTTGTACAAATTAGAACACAAGAAAAACAAGCTATAACACAACATAGACAACAAACAACACAGGGACTCAGGGATAGACATAGAGAGCATTATTTGGGAGGTTCCGTCATTCTTGTTCGCCCCTCACTTTCAGTGGATTGCCTCGCCAAATAATCTTAGCGCTTTTTCAGACATTTTTAATTCACGATTTAATTAGATAACATCTTATTCCGAACATAAGAGTTGCTAAGAGTAAAATTCGAAAACGGGAAGTAACAAACATAGAGAACATTGAGTAATAAGAGTAATTGTACATACATTAAGTAAGACATAGAACAATTATACATAATCAATTATAATCAACTTTCCCTTTTTTTTCTTTCTTAGCTTTTTCTTAAACTCCTAAAAAATCAATAGAATTCACAACACAAATGTTGATTATTTGATGAGCAGAACTTTTAGTCAAATTTATACTGGTTATATTCAATATGACTTCCTACAAATATTATTAGATTAAAGAAAGAGATTGCAAATATTGTTAAATTAATGAAATAGATTTATTAGAAGTAGTAAGGCCTAGAGCCTTAAAATTCTAGATGATTTTTCTACTTTTTTGTAGAAAAAATAAAAATGTACAAAAAAAAAAAAAACCAACCTTTGCAGTTCAAAACAACCAACAACACAAAATAATGGATTCCCTGTTTAAAATGTTTGGATGAATTTAGTCAATTAGCTCTTGTGCCAATTTACTAAAATCTTAATCTTGTCTTGTTTTACTATAATCTTGCCACCATCTGTCATAAAAGAAATTAGAACTCAATAAAACCATTACGATGAACAAATCTTGAAAGAATCCAAATCAAATTATCATAATTATAAACTAAAATTTGGAGAATTTATATAAAAGTTAATAGTTTTTACAACTATTTTACAATTGTTGAACAAACACGTTTATTGGAATGATAAATTTTTGCAATATATAAGATCAAACTGTTCTCATAGTAGTCTCAACGCCTTCAAAAGCTACCATTGTTGGTTCTCCTGAGCATCATATCTTTTGCTTCATTGATCTTTGATGCAAGGTAATGACTACCACCGGCATCTGGATGATTCGCAACCATCAGCCTCCTATGTGCTTCCTTAATCTTTTCAGTTGGAGTACTTTCTCTGTAAACAAAATGTAAATGAAAATGGTGTATCTGAAATTATTTGTAATAGACAGAGCTCATAAATAAAATGCTGCAAATGAAATAGCAGTATAATTACCAAGTTCTTTAAAATCCACTTTCCACTTCAACGAGTTAAAACAAAAAAATTTAACAAAAAAATTTATATTTTAAGAAAAAAATTATAAATATTACCTGACACCAAGAATCAGAGCGGCTTCTCTCCTGGTCATAACAGGTTGAAACCCACCTTCATAAAATCTTCGACTTTTAACTGTCGCTGGTCTTGCTTTAAATGCCTGCCAAGCACGAAGACTATATCTCCCTGCATAAGCAGTCGCCGCCACCGCAAGTCCGGCTATTAAGGGAGTAGCCTAAAATCAAAACCCCAATTGTTTAAGAAAAAAAAAAGTTTTTGAACATAAATATCAATAATTTTCAACATATATGAAAAAGATTGTTTTTCAAGCAACTCACCATTTTTGATGTTTCGAGTTCGGATTTTAGTTTTTTAAGATTTTGTTGTGAAGGGTGTATAAAAAAATAGTTTTTGTTACCATGAAGCAATTTTTTAATAATTAATAAGAAAAATAAAGAACATTCTAGATCTTTTAAAAGGTCAAATTATTTGTTTAAATCTAAAAATTCATTTAAATTTTTAGAGAATTTAAACAAAAAAATTAAAATTTATTAAAAGAGTTTGACCACAATTTTTAAATTCATTTAAATTTTGGGCAAGATTTTATACAAAAAATTTAAAATTTGAGCTAAGTATTAATTAACATATATATAAATTTTTATTTTCATATATACATAAATTATATAAAAATTATTTTATATATATAAATTAAAAATAAAAACTATAGATATTTTATTAAACTTAATTTTTATTTTTAATTATATATATATGAATTGACTATAATTTTATTAAATTAAATTTAATTATTTTTAAAATTTTTTATTATATAAATTAAATTTAATAAATAAGTTTGAGATTTATTTTTTAAATTTAAATCAAACTTAAAAAATTTATAAAATCTTAAATTACAAATTAAATTAAATTTAAATAAAAATATAAATTATTAATATCAAATATAAACATGATCCGAACTCCACCCATGAGACCATACTTACCCACCGCTCTTTTGACCTGCCCCAACCGCTTTTTAGGCTTTTACGTATTTATGTTACATGGCTGCTATTTCCTATTAGTAGTAGTAATTTCTGTGACCTTTTATCAAAGTTCTGAAAATATTAAAAGAAATTTGATCAATGAATGAACATCCATTATCAAATAAATCTCACAAGAATAAAAGAGAATGAAATTAAACACTACCAAAAACCAAGATAAACAAAAGCAAAAAAGTATGTATAATATATTATAAAAATCAAAATACAAATAAGTAACCTCCAAATTTAATATAATTGATTTATTTTGATATTTGATATGTTCAAATCCAAATTCTAAAGTTTCAAATTTATTTCGATTTTCTCGAATACCCAAACTACTGTCTCTTTTATAAAAAAGAGACAAACACCTTAGAAATTTCAATCAGCAGAATTTAAACATGATTTGCTGTCAATCACAAATGTCATTCTGTCACCTGAAGGCATAAACATAAATGGAAAAAAAAGGAATGTATGAGCAGGAATTTTTGGATGTCAGCTAATCCAAGCAAACAATGAATTAAAACTTTAAAAATCAAATTACTTTAATTTTCCTCTTCGCTTCATGTCTCTTCCTTCTTCTTTTTGCTCCTTTGTACTTCTCCACAGCCCTATAATGTTTGCTTCCCTTCATTTTTTTTAATTAGAAATAAAATAACTAACTGCCCTTTCCATTCGTGATAGCAACTTCTGTGTCAGTAATGTTGCTGTCTACTTTTGGGGGACCGGAGTGCCGCCTTGGCCTGGCTGGTGAAGGTGGATAAGAAAGCCGTTTCTTGGTAGAAGCAATAGGCCCCTTCTCAGGTGTTCCATTGGCTTCTAGTCCCAAGGGACTTTGCAACCTGGTCTTAGCTCTTGCGGACTCAGTTGGTACCATGTAACTTGGAAGTGATGGAGAGCTTGCTAGGCTCTCATCGTCACGGACTGAGGAGACTGCAATGCTGTGTCTCCGGTTTCGTTCTGACTGCACACTGAGTATGCTTCTTGTGTCATCATCTGGACCAACCATGCTGCTCCTAGGGCTTGCCTGTTTCAGCTTTCGGGCAGGTGAGGAAGCTGGCTCGGGAGTAGAAGGGGATAGGAAACTTGAAGTTCGGTTTGGCTTTTGGCTGGCCTTTAGGGACTGCTTATCCTAATTGAGTTGGTAGCGAGCATAAGCTTTCCCGATTTCTCCTCCAAAGTTGCTGCGTCCACTCTTTACGAATGACTGGTCATTGTTCTATTCTTTTTCTGTCATGCCACGACCCTCTCATGGCCGGGCTGACATCCATCGTTCCAACCAGCTCCAACCCCAGGAGGTATTGTTTGGATCCATGAATAATGGATTCATAGATCTTGAAGCATTCTTCCAGGTTTGCTGCAAAAGTTATATTTAGGTGTCGGACACAACTAAATTATGCTAAACTATTTGGCAGTATAATAATTTATACTAATGCTAGAAGTTGCAAAGAAACTACTACTTACTGCCTCATCACCAGGCTATGGAAAACCTTTTTTGAAGTAATTCAGTTATGCTTCATTCATTCATTCATGTCACTTAATGATGTTGTTAAATCTCTCGCTTGCACACTTTGAACACAGAGGAAAGATTAAATATTTGATGCTCTTCATGTATTCCAATAGCATATATAAAATTAGAGGACCAGGTCACCTGATGAGTATATGACTATGCCATAACCCTTTCTCTTTTCATAGCGGCCTCATGCTTGCTCAGTAAACTTGCCTCAATTTGTCCCTTTGACTGCAGGCTGTCATCCCAGTCCTCCCCAATCTGTTCAAACATTCAAAACCTACGCTCAGCAGAAGGGAGTCATTATCAAAAATCAACATGATTTTCTACTGTTGGAAAACGCTAAGGGCATTTTTTTGATCAGAAACTAAATGGTTATATGAAAATATAAAGTCACTTAGGGAACTGAGGTTGACTGCAGTGACAGAAATCACTCCAAAATCCCCTGTATGCTGTATATAATAGGTAAATCAATTATCTTATTTGTTTGTGATATAAAGATAATTCTAATCATGGGATATAGGTAAGAAAAACCAGTTCTTGGAGAAAAAATTTGAACCCACTTCGGAGCAGTCCAACTTCTACATCACATTTTCCAGGATATAAAGCCCAGACTACCAACTTTGCCACCAATTCAAGCAAGTCAATCACGCCGATATATCAGCGAAAAAAGCAGATTTACCTGCAAGTTTACAACTCTTTTGCATGTTTCTGCAAGAGTTGACTCTAAAGAGCCTGATATATCAAAGAACAATGCAACACAAAGGCAAATAATGGCCCTACAACATCAAAAAAGGGAAAAAAGCATCAGCCATATACTTGATGGAATATAGAATACTTACTTTAAATAGCTTAGGCAACTTAAATACTCCAGATTTCTTAAGCAGTTTCATGAACATGTGTCTTTCAGAGCGCCTAGAGTGGTTCTTCAAAGTCTTCATGTGAGAGCCGGTAGACATAACTCGCCCGTGCCCGTAATTATCATGAAAGATCCAATTGTCAATTTTGATACTTCTAGATCCTTGCATATATTTATGAGCATAATCCCCACTTTGAAGAAGTTCATGCAATATCTTATCAGCCATGCTTCCTTTTTTGTTGGAAAACTACAAAAAAAGATGTTAAGAATACATCAGTCATATGAAGTCTTAATTGCAATCATTCAAACAGCAAATAGTTACCTTGGAATTAGTTGGAAGCAAATTCTCATGTATAGTTTTCGAGAGCTGGGAATAAGCCTGACCATTTTCTTCAAAATCTTCAAATTAAATTAAACTTCATATCATATCAAGACCTAAATATTTGACATAATGAAATGTTCACAATCAACAATATTAATAACTACCCTAGGAAGTGGAGGGACCCAAGAAAGAGAAAGTTCCTAAATGTAAGACATAATGAAAACATAAATTAGTCAAATAAACAATAAAAAAGAAAAGAGATGAGGAATTGGAGGAGGGAGTAATGGATGTGTTGGGTAGAGAAGAATTACTGCTAAAAGTTTCTTTTCCACGTTCCACAGCGGGTGTCTTTTTGTTCGTCTTCTGTTGTTGAAGAAGCTCAGCTTTCGCGATGGTAAACCTTCGCTCTAATGCTTCTAAAGTGAGCTTTCTTTGATCTTGAGGACCTGGGGTCGTCGCCATTAGAACTAAACTGATCTAATCTAATTTGGAAGTAGTAACTGAATTAGTGATAAATCAATTACAAATCAATTAAACTGGTCTAACTAATGGTCCAAAAGCTACTTCTGGGGAGCAATTAATTGAACATCTAATCCACAATTTATTAGCGAAACATTGAGAGTAACTAATACTGCAATTTTGAGATTATGAAACATACTTTAATAAAAGGTAAAATATGGATAGGTCCTTAAATTTTAAGTATAATTTTACTAGGCCTATTAATTTAAAAAAATGAATATCTCATCTCAAAAATTTCCAATAAATAGGATATTAAGATCTTTTTACTTATTAACTCCGTTAAAAAGCTCCATTTTACTCCTAAAAAATTAATATGTTCAAATACTTACTTAAAATAATTATTTATAATAATAATTTTTTTAAATATATAAAATGTATTAATAATATATAAAAAAAAATTTTAGGTGCAAAATATAAAAACAAAATTCACAATATAAATAACATTTTTTTCAATCAATATTTTTTCTTCTTATATGTTACATATTCTTATTATAATATTTTTTATTATAATTTTGAATTTTATTTTTATATATTTCACATAAAAATTTTAATATATTATTAATATATTATATATTTTAAGAAAAAAATTATTATTATAAAAAATTATTTTATGTGAGTATTTGCTTATTATATTTACATGTTCTTATAGGTGCAATATATATAAAAAAAAATTACAATTATAAATAATATTTTTTCAACCAAATATTTTTTTATTATATGTTACATGTTCTTATTATAACATTTTTTCTTATTATAATTTTGAAAATTTTTTTTATACATTGCACTTAAAAATCTTTTTTATATTTTATTAATATATTTTATATATTTTAAGAAAAATATATAAAATTTATGTAAATATTTGCTTATTATATGTTACATGTTCTTATTATAACATTTTTTCTTATTATAATTCACAATTATAAATAACATTTATTTCAATCAAATATTTTTTCTTATTATATGTTACATGTTCTTATTATAACATTTTTTTCTTATTATAATTTTAAAATTTGTTTTTATATATTGCATCTAAAAATCCTTTTTTAGATTATTAATATATTTTACATATTTTAAGAAAAAATTATATTATAAATAATTATTTTATATGAATATTTGCTTATTATATGTTGCATGTTCTTATTATACTTTTTTTTTCTTATTATAATTTAC